CCAGGACAGGTTGGAAAGGTTTAACCCATATCAGAGATGATATATCGTCCATAGTTTGGTCAAAATCCTTGATCTGGGACAAGTTTGAGTCTTGGACCTGAATAGGGGTAACTGAGGCTTGAAGGGTTTTTTCAGTATTGAGCTCAGGATTTGAGCTAAACCCAAGCGATAAATGCTTCCAATTGATAGTTGGATCATGCCTTTGAAGCCATGGAAGACCTAGGATAACTGGGTACTTCATTGGTATAACATCTAAAGAGATGGTGTCTGAAAATGTTGATTTTCCTAGGGGAATCTCAAGTTTGAGTACTGGGGTGTTGCAGGTAATGGAACCTGAACTGATAGGAGTTCCATCAATGACTCGGAGCAACTCTGGAGTGCGTTTGGGAATTGTAGGTAACTGGTGTGTCAAGATGAGGTCTTGAGATATAAAGTTGCCTGTTGCCCCTGAGTCTATCATAGCCCTTGTAGACAACACCTGTTGTTTGAAATGGAGTTGAATAGGGATTAACAGGTGTGTGAGACTCTGAGAAAGCACCATCGACACATCTTTGTTGTCTAGGGGAGAAGTTATAGTCTCAGTTGAAGTTGTGCCTGCTAGGGATTTTTCAAGTTTTTCAGGAATAGCAGTTGTGACTGTGTCTGAGGCTGCTATATGTTTTGAATCAGCACTCCCTCGTGCTGAATAGCACTCCTGAATTCTGTGTCCCCCTTTGCCACAGTATAAACAAAGGTTGTTGTCCATTCTGTGTTTTCTTTCTTGAGGGGTAAGTTTACCCCTTTTCAGTTTTTGAGGGTATCCTGTAGGCTGAGGTGCTGGATTTGCTGTAGATCTCTTTATAGAGGCGTCTAAGTCCATAGGTTCAGGTGCTGAGTCCTTAGCAGTTGGTGTAGAGGTGTAATTGTTGAAATTTCTTGTTGGATGCCAGTCTTGGTTCTTCTCCTTTCTTCTTTCAAAAAGCCTATCATCAAGTCTGACAGCTTTCTCTATAAGCGTTTGAAGTGTTGTAGGGCGTTCTTCTTTGCTGAGTTCATCCTTAATAGAGCTCTTGAGCCCTTGGTAGTAAGTGAAGACTAAGGCTTCTTCATTCCAAGTCAAGTGAGAAGTGATTCTCCTAAATTCTGTTGTATACTGAGCAGCAGAGGTCTTTTGACATAGCTTCTGTAGCTCTCTTTCTGCTGTAGCAGTTTCGTTGATGTCTCCAAAGGTCCTGGTAAGTTCCTCTTGAAACTGGTCATAAGAGGTAATCAAAGGTGTAGTGGTATTTTGGTTGTTGCCACTAAGTCTTCTAAGATATGGCTCAAAGAAGTTGAATGCAGATCCATGGAGGTAGCTGGCAGCGAAATAGATCTTCTGAATGTCTGAGGTGAACTGATGAGGCCTGAGGGTGAAGTAGATGTCCAGTTGCATAAGAAATCCCTTCAACTTCCTCCTGTCTCCATGGTATAAATCTGGTGTTTGCACTTTAGGAAGTGCACCTGGGGTACTCGAAATAGCCAGAGGAGCTGTGGGAAGCTCTGTATGATGTGTCTGAGTTGAAGATTGTGTTGCTGAAGTGTTGGCTTGAAAGGTGTTTTCCAAATTCTCAAGTTTGTTGTTACGACGGAACAAGAAGGCTGGCCAACTACAGGACAGGAAGGAGGGAGGTCGCATGAGACCGGCCCTGGTACCTGGAGGGGCAGCGGGGAATAGTAGTTCCGAAAGTATCACGTGACGGACTCGCAGGATGATGAGAAGAGTCCTAAGAGTCCAGGACTCCGAGGACTCGAGTGAGTTCCCAGGAGTCCACTAGGCACGTGATGGACTCGCAGGATGATGAGAAGAGTCCTAAGAGTCCAGGACTCTGAGGACTCGAGTGAGTTCCCAAGAGTCCACTAGGCACGACGCCACTATATAAGTAGATAGTATTTCCTTAGATAGGAGCTTCGTGCTCAACTCAATACAGTATTTGTTATATACTAGTAACGTGTTACTTGAAGCCTTTGTGTCTGATCCCCTGCCTCCTCTGATAAGTAAACCTTTACGCAAGAGAACCTCTGTGTCTTCTATCGTTTAGAAGTCAGCGTTACATTTGTTTGCTATAGTTTGTATAAAGGCAAACAGTTGTTGCATCTGCTGTTCAGCAGTAGTTGTAGGAGCTTGGTCGTCCTCCATTGTAGTATCGAAGTGCTGCTATAGAAATAGTTGAAGCTTGAAGCAGGCAAGGTGTAATGGTGGGTGCACCAGATATGAGAATCTAGCCACCCAAGGAAGGGATGAATTTACTAAGACAACACACTGTCTTAGGAAACAGAGCCAAAGGGTTGTAGCTTAGACTATTCCACAACGCAGCAATCAGGTGTATGATGTGGTGAAGTGGTTTAGACAAGTTGCAACAAATGTTGAGTCTGAGAACTCAGGGGTAAGTCAGAGGTTAGCACCTCACTGACTTTTCAAAAACAGAGAATAACAAGATCAATGCTTGGAAGCTTGGAAAAGACGTAGAAGTATGTGCTAGTCGATTTACTGTATTGTCTGCTTGCCCTTTCTTAAGGAAAGGGCAATCCTATTTATGCCAAAGGAGTGTAGTTCTCTCATTTTCCATGACTTTCCATGACTAACCAGGCTTGGTAAATGTATTAGAAATCAAGTGCGACCCACAACTAGCTTGCTAATCATGTAGTGAACGTAAGAGAATCCCATAGAACCATCTCTTGGGTTCCTAGCCTATAGGAAGTGAAAAGGAGGTCCAAGGTCAGAGTACCTATAGATAAATTATGTCATAACTTAACCAATCTTGTGGGTAACTAAGGAGCGATGACGTGTAATGAATCATAGAGGGTTGTAGAAGCTTCTAGAGCTATCGTTCATGTTCCTAGGCCTCTAGTTGGTAGAGATATGCCATGTGGTAGTATTGGCCCACCCCCTTAAGGAGGAGATTTTCTTAATAACTTGTTCAATGAGTGTCCAAATGATATGCTGTGATGTATGTAGCATAAACAGATGTAGTAGAAGAGTTTGCAGCAATCGTTCAGTAGTATTGCTTCTGTTGTTGGTGTGATAAGCCAAGATATGTATGGTGACTTGTAGGTTTGAGGAGGAGATTTCTAAGTTTGCTCTTGAGTTTGATAGCAAACTGAGTGCAACGAATGTCAGTATGACACATTGGTGAACCTTACCAGAAAGGATCAGATATTCGAATGGACTCATGCATGCCAAACTGCATTCGAGCTGTTGAAACAAACAGTCACAGAAGCTCCTGTCTTGAGGCATTTCGATAGAAACAAGACAGCCTATGTCGAAGCAGATTCCTCAGACTTCATCTCATCAGGAGTCTTGTCACAAAAAGATGATCAAGGGGTTCTACATCCAGTTGCATACTTCTCGAAAAAGCTAGCACCTGCAGAATGCAATTACGAGATATATGACAAGGAATTGCTTGCAATCATCAGATGTTTCGAAGCATGGAGACCAGAACTTGAAGGGACAGATTTTCCAGTCCAAGTCTTGTCTGATCACAAAAGCTTGGAATACTTCATGTCCACCAAGAAGCTGACAAGAAGACAAGCTCGGTGGGCTGAATTCCTCTCTCGATACAACTTCCAGATCATCTATAGGCCTGGGAAGCAAAATGGAAAAGCAGATGCTTTGACTCGAAGGCCTGGTGACAGACCAGAAGGCAATGATGAGGATGATCAACAAAAGCAACAGCTTCAGGTGTTGCTACCACCTTCGAGGCTACATCCAGACATTCAGAAACTCAAAGAACAAGGCCAAACAGCTCAGCTAGCTCCAGTGGAAACTCATATCAGAGAAATGACAATTCTTGAGAAAATCCAAAAGTCTCAACTGGAAGACAAATTCTGCAAGGCTACACTACAGAAGCTTGAGAATGGTGATCGAACAAGCAAAGAGGTTGCATTGGCTTATTGCGAACTCAAAAACGGCATGCTAGAATATCAAAATCGAGTTTGGGTGCCAGAAACCATTCAGGTGGACTTGTTGAGAGAAGTTCATGAACAACCTTCTATGGGACATCCAGGAGCTGGAAAGATGCTGCGAGTCATGAAACAGCACTATTACTGGCCAAACATGGACAAAACAATAATTCGATATATCAAAAACTGCCATAGTTGTCGAAGATCGAAACCATCTCGAGATTCCTACAATGGACTTCTACAACCAATCTGTCATACTGACATTCGTTGCACTCAGTTTGCTATCAAACTCAAGAGCAAACTTAGAAATCTCCTCCTCAAACCTACAAGTCACCATACATATCTTGGCTTATCACACCAACAACAGAAGCAATACTACTGAACGATTGCTGCAAACTCTTCTACTACATCTGTTTATGCTACATACATCACAGCATATCATTTGGACACTCATTGAACAAGTTATTAAGAAAATCTCCTCCTTAAGGGGGTGGGCCAATACTACCACATGGCATATCTCTACCAACTAGAGGCCTAGGAACATGAACGATAGCTCTAGAAGCTTCTACAACCCTCTATGATTCATTACACGTCATCGCTCCTTAGTTACCCACAAGATTGGTTAAGTTATGACATAATTTATCTATAGGTACTCTGACCTTGGACCTCCTTTTCACTTCCTATAGGCTAGGAACCCAAGAGATGGTTCTATGGAATTCTCTTACGTTCACTACATGATTAGCAAGCTAGTTGTGGGTCGCACTTGATTTCTAATACATTTACCAAGCCTGGTTAGTCATGGAAAGTCATGGAAAATGAGAGAACTACACTCCTTTGGCATAAATAGGATTGCCCTTTCCTTAAGAAAGGGCAAGCAGACAATACAGTAAATCGACTAGCACATACTTCTACGTCTTTTCCAAGCTTCCAAGCATTGATCTTGTTATTCTCTGTTTTTGAAAAGTCAGTGAGGTGCTAACCTCTGACTTACCCCTGAGTTCTCAGACTCAACATTTGTTGCAACTTGTCTAAACCACTTCACCACATCATACACCTGATTGCTGCGTTGTGGAATAGTCTAAGCTACAACCCTTTGGCTCTGTTTCCTAAGACAGTGTGTTGTCTTAGTAAATTCATCCCTTCCTTGGGTGTGGCTAGATTCTCATATCTGGTGCACCCACCATTACACTCAAGTTAAGGGAAACAGGCGAGCAAATCTGTCAACTATAGGAACGCCTAGAGCACGTAGGGGAAGTGGAGTCCTACCATACTCCTGCACTCAAATGCATGAATAATAGTTCTATGCTTGAACATATTCTCTCTAATCTTTGGTAAATCGCGAAGGAAGGAAGGAATGTTATATTCAAGGTCTAGACTCTTATAGCCTCTTGAACAGCTATCTTATGCCAGTGCTTGTAAGGTTGGAAAACCCCAACACCGAGTGGTTGTAGAATATAGAGAAGACGAGGACTAGAAAGATAAAGGATGAGGATGGGGATGAGGATGGGGACGTGGATGGGAACGAGGATGATTACGAGGCTGATGAGGTGGCATGATTCTCTGAGAAGTCCGGACTGACGGTGTCCATTTATGAGGTTACATGATTATATGATTATGAGACTAGATTTGCTATGGAATGATGGAACAAGTGCGAATAGACGGTGTCTAGTTACGAGGTTTATGAGGTTGCATAATTACGAAGAAGGATTTGCTATGGGATGCTCGAGCAAGTACGAATCGACAATGTCTATTTGAGGGTTGCTGGGATGTTTTGAAGATGGCAATAGCTTCTTATTTGTATTCATTAGTTCATTATCTAGGTGCTATTACACTACAAGAAATATTCAATTTGAGGTTTTTTAGCCGGCATGCCTCGGGAATCTTGCGGAGCGGCTTGAAATACTCGGTATCGCCTCGCCGGCCCCTGGTTGAGGCTCACGGCGTTCTCATCCAGAACACCCTGCTGCAGGGCGGCACTGCGGCCAACCTCGCCGTTACTCCTCGCCAGCACGCCGTCCCCGCCGCCACCATCCTCACCGAGCTCCATAATAGCCGCCACATTCCCGCAGCGGTAGCAGTAGTTCGGGGCGGACCAGACCGTGACGATGGTGTTGTCGAACATCTCCTTGAAGCCCTCCATAACAAGCTGATGCGCGCGGGCAATCATCGAGATGTTATTCGCGTGGTTGAAGTTCTGCACCGTGCTGGCGCCGAAGAGGAAACCGGCCCCGCGAGGCGAGAGACCCCAGCCCTGGATGTCCTCCGGGTCGGACCACAGAAGATCGCACATGGAGCCCTCGTGTGGAACTTCCTGCTTGCGGTCGATGAGGCGGATCTTGTCGAGAGTTTCGGCGAGGGGGCTGAGCCCACCATGCACGCAGAATACGGCGGTGGAGTTGTTACCGGAGGTGCCATTGCTGTGGGCTGAGGCGCCGGAGCCGGGAGGGCCGGTCTTGGTTGGCGTAGTGGAGGCAGGAGGAGTGCGCACAAGAACGTCGTTTCGTTTGCTTCCCTTGCGGGGGAAGCGGTGGAGGATGCCGCCCTCTGAGTTGAGGACTTCGATCTCGATGTCTGCCTCATCATAGTCCTCGGTGTTGGTTATTTCTGGGGCTTGTGGGCGGATGGGGATCTTGTCGTTAGGCTGCAAGGTGGCGGAGGCGTTGAGGACGATCGCACCCAAGGCAAGGTAGTCGAAGACGTCGCAGCAGTAGCGCCACACATTTGCGGAACCGTATTTGCGCAGACATTCATCGTAAAAGCCGTATACAGTGGTGATCTGGCGCGACTCGTGGTTTCCACGGATGAGCGTCATGCGGTCTGGGTAGCGGACCTTGAGGCAGAGGAGAAGCAAGAATGATTCGAGACTGTAGAAACCACGGTCGACAAAGTCGCCCATAAAGAGGTAGTTTGTGTCCGGGACGTCGCCGCCAACTCGGAAGAGCTCCATGAGATCGTGAAATTGGCCGTGGATATCGCCACATATCTATTCCTGTCAGTTGGTGTGGAGATGAAATTGTGTCGCGAAGACATACCGTTACAGGTGCTGTGACTGTTACAACATTTCCCTCCTCCACCAACAGCTCTCGCGCTTTATAGCATAATTCCCTGACCTGTGATTCTGGTATTGGCCGACATTCCCGCAGCTGTGCAATAGCCCTAGGTCCTGGTTAGTTTCGCCTTTGATGCGCTGAAGAGCAAAAACCCACTTATCCAAGTCGCTCATCTTGTATTGTCTCTAGGGTTTGGACCGCGCAGGTCGCGCCTCCTATCTGGAAAGTTTGAAGCGCGGTCTATTTCAGTGCTACAACACAGCTAGACGTTGAGGTGCTGGAAGTTGTCGTGGGATGCCCACAGATTCAAATCTAGGCCGTCTATCGATGCGTACTGGGTGCGACAGGGTCGAATAAGGCGTTAACTGGCAATATTGCTAGGTTTCTGTATAGTTTCTGATATTATGGCAAAGTAAAGAGTTGCATAGACCCAATAGATTTGTTCCTGTCGTGCGCCAATTCTGTTCCTGGATGCTGTGTGATATGTCGATCTAAAAGTTCCCAGCGCACGACATTCGCCGGGGTGCTAGCTTCTGATTACGCTAGCCGGATCTAACCTTAGACCATCTCCATGTGTGGAGAAATTTATAGACACCCCTCCATTCGAACCATTGCGACCCAATTCGCCTCTGTCAATTCCTCGCTGATATAGACAAAGCCGGTTATTAGTGTAAGAGCCTCGTTTGTCCCAGCGACCAATGCTAACCCCCCGAGCAGCTGGATGCCTTTCTCCACGGACTGAATTCTCGCGTCTCCGCCGTTGCCGGCACGCCCACAATGCCGCCCCATTTCCACCCGCGCTCGCGGATGACTTCTTCAATATTCGTTACGACTCTCTTCGCCAGCTTTGCCGTCGTTACATTGCCACATATCCTGCCGTGTCCCGCGCCCCGGGTGGCATACACGGAGGGGGAAGTATGTCCGGATGGGAAGAGGAGGCGAAGGAAGAGGTGCGCTCCTGAGGTTGCTACAGACGGCTTAGTCAAGGCGGGACAGCCGTGTGCGACAACTGTAGTTGTTGGGGGAGGTGAGGACCTCGAGGAGATTGTGGGGACGAGGGAGAAGAGGGAATGCCCGATACCGAAACCAGGGGGGACTATGGGGATAATACTTGCATTTACTGGGATAGGAAACAATACGGATGGGCCTGGGGGAACGCGACCATCGTCATAACGAATATATGTGAAGGATAGAGTGTATATAAGATGTTGGATATTAGAAGGCGGACATAAGAGGCTTGGGCGCAGAATTGGGGCGCAGAATTGGGGCGCAAAGTGGTAGAAGACCAAGATGTACGAACGGGTTACGGAACAACTGTATACCAACAAATACCTGTGTTATAACACAACAAGAGCATCAACTTAGTTATATGTTGAAATTATCAAACAGCAACAAGATTCCCAGCATGTGAGGACCGACAGCGCAGGAATGATGCGTGAATTGAACCGATGGGGTCTTGGAAGACGGCCGGAGTCAAATTTCTGTTGTAATAACAGCGAATATTTGGTAAAGTATATACAGTAAGTGAACTAACGTAAGTCGTGGCGTAACGCAAATGGTGGCGTAACGCAAAGGATTACCGAGGACCTCCAACCTATAACTTGAATAACTCAACAATGGTACAGCTTCAATTGGATTTATAAGCTTGGAGATTCACTTCTTTTACAGCCGTGGCATTTGCCAATTGAAGCTCGATCCACGCTTGGCTTGCGGGTCGGCCAGTAATAAATAGCCTCTGGGTCCGCTGACTGTGACGTATTTTTTACGGTGAATTACCCTGGTCTGTTTGTATCATGATTTTTTTATTGTCAGGTTAATTTTAATCAAAATATACCAAAATCAGCCCACCTCGTTTTATTCTACTCAAAATGTCACTCCCTAAGACTACGGACGCGTGGGTCACGAAAGGAACCACTGGACTTGACAATCTAGTGTTTGAGAGTGGTCGCCCTCTCCCAGCCGTCGAAGATCATGATGTGATGGTTAAATTTCATGGTGCATCTCTAAATTATCGAGACATCTCTATTCTCACGGTAGCCATGGCCAACATTCTCCTAGTCAATAAAGAGAGTCAATGACTTAACAGATCATAGGGCTCGTATCCTTTCCCTAGAAAGGACGATATCGTTGCTTTATCAGATGGTGCTGGTGAGGTGGTCGCAGTCGGATCAAAAGTGACCCAATTCAAAAAGGGCGACAAGGTTGTGACCCTCTTCAACCAAGGCCACCAAAGCGGCTCTATCAATTACGCATCCATTGCAACTGGATTAGGCGGGACTACTGACGGCACTTTAAGAGGCCATGGCGTGTTTCCTGAACACGGCTTGGTTACGATGCCTTCCAACTTAAACTACCTCGAAGGGGCCACTCTCATTGTAGCAGGTCTGACAGCCTGGAACGCTCTTTATGGTCTCGCTCCTGTCAAAGCAGGTGACTACGTCTTGACACAGGGTACTGGTGGAGTTTCTCTCTTCGCTGTTCAGTTTGCAAAGGCAGCAGGAGCGAAGGTTATCGCGACGACGTCTTCAGCCGCCAAGATGGAGATCTTGAAGAAGCTGGGAGCCGATCATGTGATTAACTATAAGGAGACGCCAAACTGGGGCGAGATGGCGAAGGAGCTGACTCCAGGGGGCGTCGGTGTGAAGCACGTAATTGAGGTTGGAGGACCTGGTACTATGGCACAGAGTCTCAAGGCTGTGCAGTTTGATGGCATCATTTCCCTTATTGGGTTTGTGGCGGCTGCTACTAAGGAGCAGCCTCAATTCCTGGACGCCCTAATCAATGTTTGTACAGTCCGGGGTCTGCTTGTGGGCAGCAAGGACATGTTCGAGGACATGGTTAGTACATATTGCTGCATTGCTGAATCAGGACGTAAGCTAACTATCACTTTTAGAACCGGGCTATCGTTGCAAACAATATCAAGCCAGTTATTGATTCCAAGGTATTCTCATTTAAGGAGGCCAGAGAGTACGTCTCCCAGTCACTACATGATGCATCTTAGGGGGTCTCTAACAATTAACCAGGGCTATGCAATATATGGCTGACAGGAAGCATGTCGGAAAGGTCTGTATCAAGATCGAGTAAGCCAGCCACGAACCCAATGTCATATTACTACCACCTTGATCCCTTCCTATTCCTGCCCAACTGGTATCAGTTACCTCATGGCTATCGAGCAGATCCATGCCCGTATGTGAAATCTCCGATGCATGTCGCTGCATCGAACGTTCGATGCAGGCAGTATCATTTCCAGTCCCACATCTCGCTGCACCCGCAGACATCACCTGTAAATGGGCCTCCATAGCCCGGTCTCCAGCGATGTTATTACCATCCCGGCTGGCAGTATCTCATCGGCGGGCCCCAGGGCTCAAATGACCCTGACAACCCCATTGCTGCCAGCCACCACAAGGTCGCGTTCGAGGGCCTCAACAACGGTGTCTGGGAGTAGACACCATGGTCTCAGGAGGCGGGTGGTGGTGCTTCACCCTCCCCAGCTGCATTAAAGAGGTTTTCAGCTGGTGACTACCTCATGCGTGCTGAGCTTATTTGTAAGTTTCTCCCAAATTCAACATCTCTGATCGGCCATACTGACACAAGTTGCCCTCCACTCCGCCTACAGCGCCGGCGGCGCGCAGTTCTACATGTCCTGCGCAAACATCCGCGTCACTGGCAGCGGATCCACAGCGCTCTCCGGAGGCGTTAGCCTTCTAGGCGCGTACTCGTCTGGAGATCCGTAGGTTTCCCATTTTCTTGCCCTCTGCCTTTCATGCACTGCTGCCCCTGTGATTCCAAACACAGAGCGTCTGCTGACTCAAACTAGCGGAATTACTATCAACATCTACGGCTCGTCTGGCAACCCAGACAACGATGGCAAGTCTTACGTTGCGCCAGGCCCTAATGTCTTCACTTGCTAGATAATGGTAGCGTTGACTCTAGAGCGACCAGTACTCGAGTACGTGCTGATTGAGTAATGGTTGCGTGTTGTTAGTGTTCTTTAAATTGAAGAAAATGAGACATTGAGACGGTGCTCGGGACGGTGAGAAGAGACGGAAAGGGTGGGGTCAGGAGACCCGATGGAAGTTGTTATTCTTGCATAATCGTCGGATCCGGAAAGCAAGATGTCTTGCCCCAACATTTAATTTCCACAACAATTCTATAACGATTCAACAACATGTCTGACCACAAGACTACACTTCGTGAAGCAAAGGAATGGCTTGCTCCTTGCAAATCCTTCTGAATTAGTTTCTACTGCTGCAACTATTTTCAAAGTCAAAGCAAATACCCTACGTCGATCAATCCTCCGAGAAACGAACACAACAGCTCAACAAGAACAGCATGGAGGGCACAATAAGCTATTAATTGGAATCCCAGGTGGTGAACAAGTCATGGTTCCTATTGGAATATACGAACTCTACACACCAAGTCCTGAAAACAAGAGTTCCCTTACTGTTGTTGAAGCTGTCTCTGCAAGTGGGCAAGTGATTCCACCTGTTATTATCAGGGCAAAACTCATATCTTGGTACCATAAGAATCTTCAAGAAGAGAGGATTCTACTTTCAGACTCTGGATATATCAACGACGAACTTGCAATTGAATGGTTAACACACTTTATTAAACATACAAAAAGCACACAAGATTCAGAGCCAAAGGTCCTCTTGCTTGATTCTCATGCAAGTTATCATTGCCCTCAATTTGCAATCCTTGCAGAGAAGCATAACATATTCCCATTTACATTTCCCTCTCACCTCGTTTAGCGCACCCGCTTCGAGTATCGCTTCTCGCTTACCGAGCCGCTGCTTTTGACGACGTCTATAAGAACCTTAGCAGCACCATGGCTACATGAAACAGTTCTAATTCTCCACAAGGCGCCTAATTTCTACTATTATCATCAGTGATTGGAGCGAAGCAAAGGAAGCAAGGGTATAACTTAGAGATTAAAACTGAGAGTAATACGAGGTAGTGGGGCTGGCATCCAATTGAGGAAGGAGCCGCACATAAGTAAAGTGGAAAGTTTTGAAATCGGTCAAGAATTTGATGAGGGAAGTGACTATGATACCATGAACGCGGGCTAAGTGATCTCTCATCTTCACTGCGTCTAAACACTCCGACGATGTGCAAAGATCAGGATAGGCGGGGCATGAAATATAGTCTTTCATAGTCTTGATGTGCAAATTAACGTGTCGTTGGAACCTGTCAGATCCGGGACTAGATTGCGCATCAAGGTGTTGAGATATTCTAATCATGATAACAGAATATACAGAGCCAAGGCTTCAGGGTCCGACCAAGTCCCATGAGCCCAGTGTAGCCGTTAGCTTTGACGAGCAAATCGGCGGCGTCGATATGACGAGCATCAAGCTCATGCAACAGGATAAACTCGTAACAAAACTCGCAAAATGTTGGTTTTGGGGAAATAGTTGAGATAAGTCGGTGATGTGTCATCATGTGAGTCTTTCTTGCTTCTTTTGACTCGAACACAATGCCAGTACGATATTTGCCAACCTTTCAGACCTGTGCACAAGGTGGATAGAAGCAACTTGGAACCAAATCACCATCCTCATTCCTAATCGTTTGGCATTTGCCGCCGAGGTGACTTGAGACATGCTGCCCGAAAAGCGTTCGATTTGGAAAGGTCTTTCCACACGATACGAGCTGATCAACACCCTTGATCTTCTTGATAGTGGTATGGGCGCACGGCTGGTCAAATGGAAAAATCTCGTCGGCGATGCGAATTGTTTCCGTAGTCGCCTCCTTTAATGCACACATGTATACATGCAGAGAGGCATGAACTATCCCATAGAGATCACTATCGCAGAACATGCAACGATAGCTGCCATGAATCGGCTCCTAGCCGGGGAAGAATCGATCGATCGGATGGACAATCTTGAAGAATGACCCGAGTCCTAAAGCCAACTCAGCCTCGTTCCTATCCGAGTCGAAGACAGCAAGCATCTGGTTGCATAACGTAGGATCGACATATGTCCTGTTATGGCCACTGTTGTCTCTTCGTGGGCGTGGGCGTAGTGACTGTGACTGGGTCTCAGCGACATATGCATCAAAACAGTCTTGGGTATTCCGGCTAATTCCATGGAGGCGAATCGACTGCATCGAGGAGTGGACATTGTCTAGCCACGGTGTCACTGTATCCTCTGCTGCATCTACCACCTCTTCGTCCTCTTCGTTACCAAGTGTCGCCTCAACCGATTGTTCTTCGCCATCTAAATCTATCGCCAGAAGGTTGTTCTCATCCATGGCCAAAAGGGCAGGGTCGATATTAGAGAAGTCGTCACTATCGAGGTCCTCGACGATGTCTTCGTCTAAGCCGAACAGAATGCTGCTCATCGTATGAGATGTCCTCTAGCTTAAAAACGACTGGCGTATCATTATCGTTAGGTGGTGGTGGCATGTCTGTCTCCTCCGCCTGTTCGGCGACGCTGCTAGTGCTTCTGACGCTGCTGATACTGCTCCTCTTCGACAGAATCGACAGTGTCGATTCTTCAGAAGCGCGAGTCGAGGCTACACTTTCTAGCCTATCATTCAGCCTTTCACTTGCCCGGAAGAATGTAGCATATTCGAGACGATATATCTTCTCGCATGCAGCCCTCAGAGCATTTGTAGTGCGGTTGTGGCATAGTTTGTATTCAACAAAGTCCGGGTCCGAACTTCGTGCTGCTGCAGCTAAGGTGCCATGGTGACGAACAATCTTCTCGTGGAGAGCAACAGCGATCTAATGTTGCGCACAGTACTTCGGATCTAGCATAGCCCGGGCACGGCCTTCATCGCTGATGACCTGAGGCGCCGCAGTCGAAGAATTGAGAAGCATAGACGACATCTGCTTCACTGCTCGCGGGTCCTGATCTCGATATTGGGCGGCCATATCCACGGTGGCTGTCTTTGATGCGTCGGTTGTCTAAAGACGTCTTCAGGGCGAGTGTGAATGCAACGCCACGGCGGAGGCAGTACACCGTGAGCTGTCTTCTCGACCTAGTCGTTTCGGCTGCGATTGCAAGTCTCGCAGCTGCTCGGGCTCTTGCGTCAGAGTGAAGATATCGGTATGCACCTTGCGGAGTAGAGGCAGCTTTAGGAAGCTCTCCTTGATGGGTATGATCCTGCCGTTCTTCGAGGTGGGAGCAGCCATCAAGTCAGACCAGGTCTGGAATCCGCTCTCGAAGACATCGTCCATTAACGCCATGACAAGAATCAAGCGTAAGGTGTCTTCCTTGGCCATGGCGGTCGGGAAGAGCGAGAACGGGACAGCCTTGCACTGGCTTGGCTCAAGTTTCATCCCTTTCAGATGTCGGAAGGTAAAGTTGGCGCGTAGATCGACGGCCTCGATCTCCTCGTTCCAGAACGAATAGAGCTTGATGTCTTCCCATAGTAGACATGTAGTCCGTGGCGTTTTCCGATCCCACGCAATGTCACCGCCCCGAGACCTAGTATCGACCATAATGTTTAAGAACAGGGTGATGTTTAGTAGCTGTCTCATGTTCGGGAGCGTGCCAATGTACTCGGGCGTGTATAAGATGGAGATCAGATACGCCAAGTCCTCAGAGTGTGCCACGGGCTTCTTCTAGTGTGCCCGCGACAGGTGGTACTCTTTCGCCATATCGTTGTAGATGTATGCTTAGATGTCATCTGTCAGATCCTTGCATAATCGGCGGCCTCTATCAATGCCAAAGACGACGAAAAGAAGCCGGATGTAGTTGATCAATGTTCGCACCGAGATGTTTCCGACTCGTGACTGTGCCATGAAGATGGCGTACTTCTTCAGCAGCACCCGGTCAGGCGCAGGGTGGTCGGCGTTAAAGTATCGTTAGGGATCGAGGTCTGGCGTTTGCATCTGGAGATACTCGTTGCTGTTCTAATGCCGAATCCATACGATGTTTCTGGTGAGTGACATCGAGATCGTTTCGGTTTTCGAGGCGGAGGGCCTTATCTTCGAGGGCTGCTTGTGCTTGCCTGAAGCGTTCAAGACGTAACTCGGCGTGAGACATGGTGCTGTGCTACGAGAAGAGAATCGACACTGCCCATTTCCATTAGCTATAACGAAGGTGAGGCGTAGTCATCACTTACTCAATTATCCCTCATTCTCCCTCGCCGTCAACCTTCCCTCCACTTTGGCCCCAGGCCAACACCGCCACGTCGTTGATGTCCTGTTGATGTGCTGTCGAGGTCAAGAAGGGAAGCGGGGTGAATTGTGTGAAGTAACGCATTGGTCGCGCTAGCTGAGTCGCGCTACAAAACGCGAAGTCACGTGCCGGAAATGAGAAGAGAAGGCGCTAATACCAAGGCTGTCAAAGTACTAGCCGGAGGAGAGCCCTTGTAACCATGGTTATAACCTCATTATATTCTATAATAATGTTACAGATGAGTAAATCGACAGTGCCTACCTATAAGTTATAGAAAGCGAGAATGAGGGTTGCTAACGCTAGGTGTCAGCAACCTCGTTACGTTCTGTAAATCGACAGTGTCCATTTTAAGAGCTGTAGAGAGCGGGTAGGAGGGTTGCTGACATCCTGTGGGCAGCAACCTCGTTATAAATGAACAAACAACTGTTATAAATGAACAGGGTCGAATACTCATAAATATAACAGTTGTCTCTTTTCTCCTTCGTAATAACAGTTGTCTCTTTCTCCTTCGTAACAGTGTCTCTTTCCTCTATGACAGGGTCTCCTTTGTGATAGTGTCGTCTCCTTCAGGACTATGTGCTCTCTATAATAGTGTCATCTTCTTCGTGACCATGTCTGTTTCGCAATAGTATCGCCTCCTTCGTGACCATGTTTACTGTATGATAGTGTCGTTTACTATGTCTCCTTTGCGATAATGTCATCAACTTTATAAATAGGAACCCCCCGTGATGGAAGTGCACCTTCGGAATATGGGAAATGCATACATACTATGATACCAAAACGGTGGTTCTACTTAAATCAAACTCCAACTCGCAGACCCTTCTACCATGATCCCCCTGACCGAATCTCCCCCTTGCAACATGCTGCATAATTACCCTCTAGGATTCCCATCCTCACCTCCCTATCCGTCGCACTTTCCCTGCGCTAGTCGTAGCGTAGTCACGGGCTATCTGTAACGTCAATCGGCGTTTGGCCATATGGGAGGTCAACCCGCGTTGCGCTATGTGTAAGGTCGATTACTGTTCGACTAGCTTTTGCCTTCGCCGTCTTTGCCATTTCGGCCATTTTAGCTCGGATGAGGGCTGTTTCTGCATCCATAGCAGCTATTGCAGCTATACTAGCTAATATCGAAGCTTCGTTGGCGGCTGCCCGGGCTCTTTCTATCTGGCGTCGCCACTCTACGGCTCGTATAATCTCGATGATGACCCTCTCCGAATCCCAAGTGCAACTGACGTCGATACGGTATTTCTCGCACAAGGCTTTGAGCCCGGCCCCGCTTCTCCGTCGATACATATATCTGCTAGCGAGAAAGAAGAGGACGTTGACTGCGTCAGGGGGCTTCCTTGGTTCGCTATTATTGGCCAGTAGACCCATAGCTGCTTCATATTCTGTTGCTGCGTTGTTGTTGCTCATCAATTCCTGATACGCCGTCTCGTATAATCTCGCAATCTCCTCCCTTATTCGCGCCGGACTCCATTCGGGGCTAATAATGATGCCAAGACCTTCGCACATTTGCCGTTGCTCGAGCTCGCTATTCTCTGAAACAGCAGCGATCATGCGTTCTGCGCGAGCTCGAGCTTCTCTTTCGGCTTGGGCTACTTCTGTTTGGTTGTCAGCTCTCTTTGCGGATTGGTAAAGTGGTTTCTTTACCTTTAACAGTTCATTAAGCAATCTTGCCCTATCCCACGAAGGGTCGACGCAGATTCCATAACGCTCTAACAGGCTCTCTAGTGCCCCAGCACTCATATATGGCGGAGTCTCAGTAGTCATATATTGTGGAGCCCCCTTGCTCATGGGCTGTAGAGCCACAGGAGTGAATTGATATGGAATCAAATTGAAAAGATGTGAAATCGCAGTACTGGTATTTTGCGGATTCCCAGTGGTGATGGTTTTCGGAGTCCCAGTACTGATATTTTGCGGAGTCCCAGTATTCCCCTGTTGCGGAGTGCCGCCGGCCAATACTGCACCTGCGGCAGCATATGCCAATGCCTTTTGGCGAGCCGCCTCTTCCATCATTTCCTCGATGTTCTCGTCGGTTACCACAGGACCCGCCCGTTTGGCGGCAGATGGCGCCGCACCACCTCCACTGCCCATAGGATCTAGATCATCTTCGCCTGCTCCTCCTCGCAACCCTAGCCCCACTAGACCACCCGAAGAACCCGGTACAAACTCCGGTGCATTTCCCCTGAAACCCCCAAAAGGCACCGGCGCTACAGGCCGGTTCTGAGTCTGGCCAACTTGCAAGTTGGCAAACACCGCAGCCGTAGCAGTATCAGGGGACGGCAGAATAACAGGGGAGGTTCCAGCCGGTATAGTTATCGTCATAAAAGCCTGGAATGTCCCTCCCGTTTCTTGGCCCGGAGACCACGGTCTGGGTACTAGTCGTTGAACTTTGGCGCGGTTTCCATCCCCAGGAGCCTCGTTCTCCGCCACCCTCTTCTCAGTGGGCGGCGCGGTGTTAGGATCATAATTTCGGCCATCGACGCCGAACCAAAACGCTGCCTGGCCGCCAAGCTCAAGCATGGCAAATGCAGGGAGCGGCCCGGCAACCGCACCTGGCTTTACTTGCACCCCATTAACGACAATAGTTCGTTCCCAGGGATCGTTGTTGATGAGGAAGTAGCGGTACCATCTATCGTGGTCCTTTTGGCGCTCAGACTCATAGTCCCGGCCTTCGAATCCGCCGACTGGACCCCATACATCTCCCTGTAGGTCATATTCGAACTCGTCCTGGAGGAAGCTTGGGGAATTATCATCCTCCACGTTGCCTCCTAGTTTATTTGGCCCGTGGGTTTGTCTACTGTGCTGTGTTGGAGAACGTGTGCCCGAATTGTATGTCCTCAGCGGGTTTTGGGGGACCTTGGTGCGGTCTCGATAAACTGTGTTCAGACGTCGCGTTGGTTTGAAAGGGTGTAGTGGCTGGCGCGGAGGGTTGCCAACTGTAGGATTTACAGGGACGCGGCGTATATCAACGGCGAAGGGTCGGTCTTCGCCATCGAGGTGACTGTCTCTCAATTCATCTGGCCAGAAGTACGGCGGCAAACGGAATGTACGCCCAGGGATCCCGTCCCAGAGCTTGAGTTCTGGACGGCCTATGTCATGTCGTTCTGGCAAGACGGTAGACTGAAGAACCTGTATCATATCAGCTTATTGCTTTTAATAATAGTACAAGTCCATTGAAACTCCTTCTAGCAACTATCACGACTATGGACTTACCGGGACCGGAGAGAATCGCGTGTCCAGTGTGCAAGCTTCTGGAAACGGCGGTCGCATGAACCTCACCGCAGACCCATCCACGCCCTTCAGCTTTGGAACCCAAAAGCTGTTCTCGACCGGGTCAGGGCTGCCCTCGACAATGCGATGTGGAACATATAAGGCGAGTGGCCCCGATACGTACTCGTAACTATCCAGTTTATTAATGTTGGCCGGATCCATGTCATGTGGAAACACCTCTGCGGGGCAGACGCCCTCCCTAACCATGGCAATGGTCCTGGTCAAAGAAGCGTCGTCCTCGCCCATACACCACAGGATATTGGCAATCCACCACGACGAGCTGAGTTCCACCGACAGGGAATTAATGCGCTCCATATCCGCATTCATCTCCTCCTCTGTGCCTTTTTGAGCGGCGAGCGGAGAACGGATACTTGGGTGAGGGACAAGCAGTGGTTGGATCCTCCTATTTTTTGATATTATTGCGAGGCTACTGAAGTCATAAGAAGCTTCTCCGGGATTCGGAGCGGGCCCAAGACTAGGAGGCGGCGGCGGCGGCTTCTCTCCAAATTGAAACTCGACCTCTCGTCTCCAATCGTCAAAATCAGGGTTCAATGCCAAAGGGTCCTTTTTCAGCTGCTCGTCCATTAACGTAGTAATGTCGTATCTACCACCAACATGCTTTGGGGCTACATATTTGCCTGCCAGGGTGCCCATCGTGGTCACTTTTCGAAAGTACGGTCCGAAATTTCCAAAGTGTGGGAGCTCTCCAACCTCGGTGTGCCTTCTATCATCGGCATCGTTTCGGGTTACATTATGGTCGGCAAATGGATTTTCCTCGCGCACCAATGATTCCCTTGGACGCCCCCAAGGATCGACCTCGTACTCATGGTAGTCATCGTCTGCAGGTCCGTCAGGCACCTCCTGCGGATTCTCGCTACTGTTGAAAAACGTGGGCCTAGGGCCAAACACTGCCTCAGTCCCATGCAATCTGACTGCCGCCAGTCGTCTGTTCACATCATAGATTTGGTTAAAAGGCGTCGCAAATCGCGGGTCAAGAACACCCGTCATATCGGCCGGATCGGCATTTGGCGCTTGAGCCGCCATCTAAACGGTATAAAAGTCAGTTTCCTCACCTACCAGGCCACCCAATGGTCGGCCTATGCAATGCAGCTTATATCTGTAGACATACCTTGCAAATATAGAGGTTATAATATGATTAAGGTCCTTTCGTATCTCGACCGATTCCAAGTCGCAATAATTAATATTCACCCGGCGTCACCAAGAAATAATCAAGGGTTTTGGAACCCATTTCACAGACAAAGGAGGTCTTGTTACGCTCCTCGTCGCCGGAAGCGTAAGCCCTCGGCGGCACCATTCGTCCCATTCAGCAATTTCGAACAAAGGCACATTCGCATCCGGAGGCGGTATTCAACTTTCTTTCATTTCATTTCACATCCTTGTTTTCGCAGCTTAGAATTATCCCCCGCCGAATCTAGCATTTGGAAGGGGTTGGAGATGCAGTCGCGGCCGGACAAGCAAACAAAGACTCTTGTGGAATGCAAAAAAACCCGCCACAAATTGTCGTACATGCAAAAAAAGACAGAACCAAATGATCTCACGGGGTATCATCGAATGCGGCACAAAATAAAAGTAACGAAAAGGGCATCAACGTCCCATACCAGAGTACCGGTCCATGACATCGAAAACGACGTGGTTGCTCACTTCGCAATCCGTGTTGCATTGTGGTGAACATCCAAGGTCGGTTCGGACATCGGATGGCAGAGCGTCGGTTGCCATCGCGGTAATCAAGTCGGTGGCATAGATGCAGCTATTCGTCCCAATGGTCTGGGCACTTGGCGTACTTCTAGGGGGACCGATAACGTATGGTGGTGTTTGGAATGAAGGCTCAGGTCGTACTGGAAGCTGAATTTGTCGAGGTTGGGGTTGCTGGTATACAGACATGGATGGGTTGTAGAGAGCTTTGGAAGGATCATAGAGAGGGGGTAGTTGCTGGAGGTAGCGGTATTGGTTCGGGTCAAAATGGGCCTGCTCTGCGATTTCGAAGGCTTTTCTTTGTTCCTCATGAGTCAACATAGGACCCAACATATTGATTGCCCCGAGCAGCCCTCCAGGCTGTAGCTGAGGCTGCTGTTGAAGTGGCGCCTGTTGCTCTCTCGGATTTGAAGTGCGGCTATTTCCTCCACAGCACTGATTTGAGAAGCTGTACGAAGATACCGGCGTACAAGGGTGAGATTCTCTTCCTAGTTTTTGAAGTCCTTGGCACTGAATGTCATCCGGCGACGATCCCGTTTGTAATGTATTCAGGCCCAGACCCGGGTTCTCGAGCTGTTCCGCTCCCTGGTCCTCCATGCTCTCCGGCGACGGCATCCACGGCGCCTGTGCCGCCAGCGGGCTAGCGACCATATCGATATTCTGTTCACCGGGCATCGTCGACGCCGGCCTCGTCTCTGGCGGCGACCCCTCCGTCTCGCCGCAATGCCATCTGCGACTGTTGAGCAGTGTCTCTAGGGCCTGCACATCATCGCTTCTCGGTGTATTCCCCGACCACTGCTGGCTGCCATCGTCATCGCTAGCATCGTCGGGGCTCAAGCCATGTTGGGCAAGGAGCAGACGTAAACGCCGGTTCTCTTCGATTACTTTGCGTGCCGCGCCCTGGATCTCGGAGCTGGCTTCGACGCCCGTGAGTTCGCATTGCCGGAGCCGGCCTTCGAGTTCCTGGAGGTACTCCTTCCTGCGCGCTCGGGACCGCCTTTGGTTGTCGCGGATGCGAGCCAGATTGGCCTTGTCCTACGTTGCGGTGTTAGTGGGCTTGCTCGTGGATTCTGCCCGGCATTCGTCAAGTATAGGCTAGTGTGCAGTTAAGTAGCTTACGCTGTCAGGCATGTTGCTTGCTTGTCGGTATGGCAATATCTGGCGTAGAACTTTCCAATAGTTAAGAGATCTTCAGTCCGACCAGCCTTGCTCATAGCCAACCTTCTTCCAGTTCGAGGACAAGCCGTCCATATAAGGGCCGGGCGGGAACGACAAAGGTGGCAAGACCCGGTTTTACCATCCTCCGCAAACAACAGAATTCTTACAAAGTCGGCGCCTGTGCTTAAATCTAGCCCTCAGAAGGAATTATCGGTGTACAGGGCAAAAGACGAGTCGCGTTCTCTCGATCGGCGAAAGGAATCCACAGCGCCTCGTCTGGCTGGGTCCGATCTTCGCCCCCCACACAAACCGGACTTACATCAGCACAACCCACGCAAAAAAAAAAGCTTAATTAGCAAGGCTACGGACCCCAATCTCCCCAATACCAGGCGTCAAAACACAAAACACCATCAAACTTCCCACTCTCCACACTTTTCCGTCGCGTCGCACCGCTGGCGTCCGTCTAAGAACCCTTGGGATCGACGCTAGGGTATCTAGAAGCCTAACTAACACAGCTTGTGGCCCTTTTTTTAGGCGTCGCCGAGCGGTAAATTGGGGCGGTCGTTCGGTTCGGGGCGGCGTGGGCAAGAAAGGGGGGAATCACGCACCGCTTCGGGCTGGCTGAGAGACTCACGGGGCGCGACCCCAATGAACGAGGCTCCCCGTCGGGCAGGGTGGGGTTTGCTCACTAATAGCGTTGTAGTGCCCCCCACGCAACCGCCACCGCCGATAATCCCAATTCCACAAAACCTATTACTCAGTTCAGCAGAGCAAGGGTACGTTGGAATGGTGGGAACGTTTGGTATGGTGGTTGTGAAGTTACTAAATCTGTGGATGGTAATCCCGTCTCTCTGGCCCAATAAAGATGACCGCTCCATCCACCTCCGCCTCCTAAAACTCCAAGTGATCAATCACTATAAATATGATAATGCAGCGCATAAATATACGGGACGCCGGATGACCAAAAAAAAAAACTAATGCCACGCTCTCCCATGCAACAAAAATCGCTCGCTAACTCACTTTCGTGAAAGGGCAAGATTCGATCCAATTCTAACGATCATCACAAAATCTCTTGCCCCTCGTTGCCCAATTCATAAGCCGTGTCGGGCTACGATTGGGACTTCAACGGACGCTTGGACGTCGTCGATAGTTCGAGTTCCGCGCAATGACGGCGGCGTACTCTCTCCTGTAGACGTCCTCGTCCACAACATCATCATCTGCTTCCATCGCGTCATCATCTACTTCTAGGACATCGTCGACTTTGATGGCCGATCCGCCGTCTTTTTCCACGCATTTCACTTCCAGTCCCTTGGGCGAGTTTTCCGTGGTTTTTTCTAATGACTTTTGCGCCGGCTTTTGTGCTGGCTTTTCCGGTTTCTCAAACATCTTTTCTGCTTCCCTCCTGATCTGGATCTGCTTTGAAGTCCGTGGCAGCTGGGGTTCCGGCTTCAATGTAGCGGAGGCAGTAGGGGCAGCAGCTCCACCTTTATCACCCGCTCTGACATAGTCAGCTTTCCGGTCCGTCGTCTCGCTCGAGTCCTTGTCCGTACCAACTTCCGCTCCCTTCCCTTCTGCCTTCATTTCCTCTCCAGCCCTATCCCACACCTCTTGTAGTCGTGATTTGATTCCTTCAATCTCCGAAGTGCACTGTCCGTCCCGCAGGAACTGGTGGGCCGCATGCTCGCACATGCTCTGGCACCACTCAAGTCCACTGTCCAGCTCGTCGAATATACTCGAGCCCAACGCAGATACCCTTGAAGATGCTCCGCCACCAGGAGGGCCTTGCCCGGCGCGTCTCACGCCCGGCGCACCTGGCCCAGCACGAAGGGCTTTATTGGATGACAATTCTCTCATCGGCCCCATGCGACGCGTTGATACAAACTTCAACGCAGGCAGCGGCAGCCCCTCGTCATCCTCATCACCAGGCGAAGCAGAAGCCATCATCGCATTCGGGCTACTAGTAGGGCCATTTATAATATCTCCTGCAGCAGCCGCTGGGGTTTTATCCACCTCCAACTCTGGCTCCAGCTCATCGCCCAGTGCCTCCAGATCAGCCATCATGCGCATGCTCGCCATCCGCGCGGCCATCTTGCCCTTGCGCATGGAGTTGCGGGAAGCGCTGATGTGCTTGACGAGGGCCTCGAAGTCGCTCTGCACGGCCGAGTCGTAGTAGACGATTATCATGCAGCGGGTTCGGTGCTTGGGTTTCCCGAGTTCGGCGGAGGCTAGAGACTCGGTCTTGCGCTTGCGGAGGACGGGTGGTGTGAGTGCGGGGAGACCCTTTGCGAAGGCCCCGCGGAGGCGATTAGATGTGTTGTGTTGGGGGGTTCGTGGGGAGTTGTCGACATTCGGTGGTGATGGTGCCTTGTCGGTGGTGTCATTATTTGTATTGGGGGTATCAGTAGTAGAATTCATGGCAATTTCGATATCCTCTGGAATGACATCGTTGTCGTCTTTCGGCCGCAGGGACTCCGTAGAACCCTTATTCCGTAATGAGCGTGTCGAAGGTCTACTGTTCTCGGCCTCGGCCAGTTCGCCCTGTCGCCTTGCTATCTTGCCATTGAGGTCATCGAGAAGAACCTGCCAGTCGGGTATCGACTTGACAAGGTTATTAAGCGGATCCATGCTGAATGCTGCTATGGACCTCTCGCTTTGATATCGTGTTTGGTGAAAGGGGACCAAGAGTGCCGCTGATGTCGTTGGGTCGTAGATGTTGTTGTGGTTGAACGGGATTCGAGTGTCGGGCTTGTTGCAGGAGGCACGCCCTTACGAAGAGGCCATATCTCTTCAGACGCGCACAGATTTCGTGGAAGCGAGGCGGTGATTTGAAACTGACAGTACGGAGTATGAAGTTTGTGTTGGCCGTTGAGGAGGTTGAGGTTCGGTTGTACAGAGGTGCTGTGCTGTCTCTCACGCTGCCGGGAGTGATCGCTGCTTGGCGTGGAGTTTGCGCTGTCCGGTGCTTGGTAGCTTCGGTCTAAGTCACTTGCCACGAGCAATATCCGACTATGAAGGGCAATTTCCCAACAGCCCCCACTTGACGCTGGTTCTCGAAGGTGAATAGAAGGAAGCGACGACGAGAGTTGGGGGAGGAGGAGAAGTCGGCGTCTGGATAGATCGTAGTCGAGAATTTTGTCGCACTTCGGGGGGTTGTGAGGGGTTATGTACTCCGTATGACCGTCGAGTAGTCTATATGGGCCAACGACAAATACCTCTTGTGAGAAAGAGGATCTGCGGCGATGTTTCTCCATAGACGTACTATAATAGAGCCATGATGTGTACTCTGTATTCGAGGTGTATTCTATAGTCTATAGTCTATATTCTACCTTCTTCCCCCATGAGCTGTGATCTACGAGACAGGCCAGGCGAGCCATATACGAAGCTGAAGCCCATCGCGACGGCCCGCAGTGTGAGTCTAGGCGTCTCATGGGCCTCATACATCACGGCCGTGAGCGGTTTTCTCACCTGATTCCAAAAGCCCCCGCGCGCTTCTAACGTCGTTGGAGAACACTTATTCATCCAACCCAACTCGCTCCATGACGCCCAATGAACCGTCTGCGAGGGCCAACGGCATCGGCAAACTCGAAACACAAGAAGCAAGCAGATATTCCTCGCCAGAGACTCGAAGTAGATGATACGAAGTAGATGATACTCATCACATCTCCACCACGCGAAGAGCTACTCCAGTACTTGTAGCCATCCACACGAGGTTCCGAAGCCAAGTGTGCCCCCACATGTTGCCAGAACGATATCGCTGTGCCATCCGCCCGCATATCTAATGAAGACATCCCGACATCCCAGTCTCTGCGAATAGAGTGTTTTAATGGCACCAACACTTTTCTCGTCGCACTAGGCCTCGGGGTGCCCGCCGTCGATTTATTTCCCTGTTGCACAGCAGCGCCGAGACCTTCATCCCCGTATCTCATCAATCTCAGATCTTGCCCTTTCCTTTCTTCTCGCCAGACTCCGCACAAAAAGCGGCTGAGAAAGCTGTGAGGAAATCGTGTGTGGCATCTGTTGACAGAACGAGACGGACGAGACACAAGCGTAATCGGGGAACCCTTCCGCCCGATCCTAGCGAACAGATCGCCACACCTTCTCTTTTCTCCAACCCTTCCTGCACGCCAAGGTGGGCGCTGTAGAACGAGCTCAACGTCAGCCTCCATAACCACCCATAACCCCCACCACTGGAGGCCAAAATGACGAGTCGCGACTGCATATGTGAGAACAGAGCTTCGCTCTCGCTTTCTGACACAACTCCACTAGTTTGCGCGCTCCAAATACCCATACACCTCGCGCCGCCGCTGAAGAATTTGAATTTGCGTGTGCACCACAGAAGCAAGCCGCCAATCTTTCCTCAATCCATAATCCAGCTCTTGAAGAACTGTAGGTTTCCCATCAGGACCCTGGAAACCCTTGTCTCCACGCCTCAGCTCCCACAACCCCCACGAAGAAATCCGGCACGACCAACCACAGACACGTCTGCCAGTGTTGCACCCCGATGGGCGCTCGAGCTTCGACAGACAGCAGAGGAGTGGCACGGGACGTCGCTGACGTCTCGCTTGAGTGATTATATTAGCCTAATCCGGTCGGACTACATAATGCAACAACGGTTTGTTCTGTACATTATGCGAGCTACTGTCGTCATGCCAGTGGCTCCAAATCAGACTCGTAGCGTAACGTTCAAAAGGCCCCATTGATCAAGCTGTGCAGATGAAATGGTCCTTTTGGGAGACTCGGTGGTCTAGAAGAGTGAGTTGGGAAAAAAAGCGCCCAGATGCTCTATTTTGGTCTGGCGGTTTAGCTGCCAATTCTACATCCTCAGCCTCATGGTCTCAGATATTGTTTCTCTGGTGGAAGGCCAGGCCATTCTTTGCCAGTCGTCCTTATCCCGTGAGTATTTTGTAGCCCCTAACCCCTGATTCTCATATGCACTGCTGTTCCACCTCAACTGTCTACAAGCTCCCGAGTCGCATGGTTCTCCCTAATCCACTTCGCCTCCTGTCAGCTCCCCCTTTCCAATCTTCAAGCAATCAAGGTCCTCACGGGTTCAGCTCCTCCCTCTTCCACTCCCCTTCCACAAACGTATATATCCACCTCTTCGAACTCTCAGGGTCCGTAAGATCCACACACTCCACCTCCCCCGGCCTCACAACCACAAGCCTAAAATTCCCCTTCGCCTTCTCCTCATCGAACTCCCCCCCTGCAACCTTACTCACCTCCCCCGGCGGCGGCCCCGCCAACCCCTTTTTCAACTCCCTCCCCATTACCTCAAACTGCCTCTCCCATTCCCCCTCCCACCCCCACCCCTCACCAACCTCCCTCAACCTCCCCTTAAGCGCCGACTTCACAGCTTCTACCCCCTCTCCCTCACCTCCAACATCCGGCCCAAGAACCCACCCATCCCCCCGTATCCGCCATTGCATATTCACCTCCTTCACCCAAAACACAAGCTCCACCCTTCCTCCCCCACCACTCGCCCTCCTATCCCCCTGTCCCGGGCCGAGTAAATCAGGAACCTTAGCTGACCGCACGTCCGTCGTGAAGGTGAGTAGGTCGGAGGTGGCCGTCTGTGGACCCTTCGCGGCACCGCGTGGGCCGGACGCGAACATTCCCCGGAAAACGCAGGTTCGTGCGCGGGGGCTGTAGGGCGGTGTGAGGGACGGTGTGTGGTGGAGGGTGCTGAGGGTGAAAGTTGGGGGGGTGAGGTGGGTGAGGTGGGTGTGGAGGAGGGGAGCCCAGGGGGCGGGGTCGGCCATGGTGAGGTTGCGGAGGGAAGGAATGGTTGTGGTTGTTGGATTGTCGTGTGCGTTGTTGGTTTGTTGGATGTTGGTTGTTGGTTCCTGACCGTTGGCCGTTGGTTGCTGGGGCTGGTAGTTTTTTTGTTTTGGGTGTTTTTGGATTGGGATTGGATTGGATGGTTGAAGCGCTGGATTCGTGGCCCCGGTATGGTGGACTGTTGGTTTGAAAAAAAGGCGGATGCGTGTAATTGGTATATACTCCGCTGAGTGTGAGGTAAGAGGAGTGGCTCGCTCGTGACTCTGGAGTGTGGTGTTTGATGATGCAAGCTCACGATCTGAAGTTAAAAGTTGCCCTAACACGCCTGTGACCCCGCCATTCCCCGCATTCTGTCGTCGACGGATACGTCGACGATCGGCAGCCACAGTACGACAAATGGAACCCATGGAAGGAATTAATTACTCACGAAGGTAGCTGGCTCTCTAAAAACGGGATGAAGCTCGATCTTGTAGGAAATCATCGCTTTCTTTATTTGCGATTGGTCGTTTATAGCCACGATTTGGGTAGTGCTGGTAGTGCTGGTAGTACTTAAAGCCAGGTCCATATCCAAGGATCATCCTCGTTCTCTGCGGTCTATTTCTTTCCCAATAAATCTCCAAAACAATATTGCTGTACAATATGGTTTCAGACCGGTTTATATTCAGTACAACACCGTCTCGTGTTGCTAAACATTCGCCGAGCAGACCCCGATCAGCCATATATGAGACCAAACTAGGCGACAAGGTTATGCCATGCCGTTTCCCGGCTTCAAACTCATTACTAAGACAACTCAATGAGCGACTTCTGATTACCACGCAACTCGAATCGAGCCGTGTGATTAGGATCCCATAACACTCCAGGAGGGATACCGGCCTTGTTCTTATGTTTTCTGCTGTTCAGAGTCGATATTTTGCCCCTGATTCACCCATGTGGTTATCTACAAGCACCCTGACCGCCCACTCCCTACAGTAGTAGCGCAATAGCGTGTTCTGGCAGCCGCATCCCCCACTCGAGATGGGAGATCGCGAGATCCTCGAGGTGACCCGGCGCGAATCACCTTTAAATATGGATAATGGTTCTAGTGAGGCTCGGAAGTTGCCGCCCCACGCGCCGGCGAAGAAGAAGTCCCGGTCGAGTCGCGACGCCGCTGCCATCAAGCGACGATGCGTGAGCACAGCCTGCATTGCCTGTCGCCGGAGGAAGTCAAAGTGTGATGGCAATACGCCGTCGTGCGCTGCCTGCTCGAGCGTCTATGACACTGGTAGGTTTTTATCTAGGTTTTACTTTTGCCCACGCGACCTCAGCGCTAACTATGCGGTTACAGAATGCGTGTACGACCCAAATAGCGACCATCGACGTAAGGGAGTGTATAAGGAAAAGGCCGATATCAAGGCGCGCGAGTCGACATTGCAGACGATCGTGCAGGCAATACTGAACTCCTCCGAAGACAGTGTTTCGGCTTTGGTTCGACAGATACGCACCTGCGACAACCTAGACGATGTCGCAGACACTATCGCCCGAAAGGAAAACTCCGATGTGAGGGCGGAGGACGAGGACGATGATGATCTCATGATTGCGGCATACTCTCAAACCGTCGCTCCGACCTTTGAAAACGAGCTTTCGGGGAAAATGGGCGAATTGAGGATCGAGAATGGGTCGATGCGGTTCATTGGCGGCACATCGAACTTGATATATCTCTCACCAGAGGATGATGAGAAGGATGGCTCGGACGCGCTACAGCAACAAGATGCGCCATTATTAAGCTGGACAACTGTTACGGCGGACGCTGAGCTTATACTACATTTGCTAAACATGTACCTGAGCTGGCACTACCCATACTTCACGACATTATCGAAGAGCCTCTTCTTACGAGACTTCCTCCTGGGAAAACCGCCCGGGAATTCCAAGCGGACATTATACTGCTCGTCATTGCTAGTCAATGCAATGTTGGCACTAGGGTGTCACTTCACCAATTCGCCAGCGGGCTGTGCGGATCCAGAGGACCCCGCTACGAAAGGAGACGCATTCTTCCAAGAAGCCAAGCGCTTATTTGTTGAGAATGATGAATATGAGAAGCCACGATTAACGACTGTACAAGCCTTAGCATTAATGTCCCTGAGGGAAGCCGGCTGCGGCCGCGAAGCAAAGGGCTGGGTATACAGCGGAATGAGCTTCCGCATGGCGTTAGATATGGGTCTAAATCTAGATTCCGGCGGAATGGCCAGCAGCAAGGACCCAATGGATGAGAAAGAGATCGACGCACGAAGAGTAACATTCTGGGGCTGCTATTTGCTCGATAAGTGCTGGTCCAACTACCTGGGACGCATGCCCCAGCTGCCGACGTCAAATATAACTGCTCCAAAATACGATGTCTTCCCGGATGAGGACAGTGACACTTGGTCGCCATACACCGATACTGGAGTTAGTCAGTTGCATTCGCAGCCGTCACGCACAAGAGCAGTTGCGTTGCAAATATCAGCATTGTGCGAGATCAGTAGCGACCTACTGATATTTTTCTATCATCCCCAGACGCTGGAGCGGTCTATGGGGAAGCAGTCCGAGCTGAAGAAGTTGAGTGAGCTGCATACCCGCCTTGAGGCATGGCGCAAGGAGCTGCCCAAGGAGTTTGAGTATAAAGAGGGGCAACTACCTAATGTTTTACTTATGCAGTAAGACTCTTTGATCCTCTTAACCGTCGGTATATACTAACACTCCGCAGCATGTTTTTCCATCTCCTTTACATCCATCTATTCCGCCCATTCCTGAAATACAACCCATCGACCTCTCCTCTTCCCAGTCACGTCTCGCCCCGAAAATTCTGTACTTCCGCTGCCTCCGCAATCTCCAAACTCATGCGTCTGTACAAGCGCACCTATGGACTCCGTCAAATCTGCAACATCGCCGTCTATATGGTCCACTCGGCTTGCACCATTCACCTACTCAACTTACCCGACAAAGCTGCCAAGCGCGACATCATCCATGGCACCAAGCACCTCGAAGAGATCGCAGAGGACTGGTTATGTGCCCGCCGCACCTTAAGCATCATAAGCGTACTCGCATGCAAATGGAAGATCGAGCTCCCAGAAGAAGCACGCGACGTCCTCCATCGCACCGACGCCAAATACGGCACCTTCTCCCCCACCGACGTCCCCAGCCCCAAATCCGAATTGAACTTGGGTACGCCGCCGGGGTACAGCTCTCCCGAGGCTCCCAAAGCCGCGAAGACCGTATCGGTGCCGCCGCCAAACCCACCAGGCAGCGCGCAGAATAACGTGTACACGACCTTAGCGCCCTTCGTGCCCGTATCGGCCGCAGGAGCAGAGGTAGGCCCCATGTCTCTCGTCGATGACTCTGGGTTGAACATGACAGTGCCGTACCTTCGAAGCGCCGCAACAGGCCTCTTCAACGTCCTCCCCCCCAATATAGGCAGCAGCCCACGCACTTCGAAGCCGGGACAGACGGCGCCGCGGCAGGCGATGGCGGGTCCATCGCAAGGGAGGCAAGTTAGTCCAACAACGTTGTTTGGGGGACAGGGGGCGATGGGTGAGGGTCAGGATTGGTGGCTGCGCGATCAGGCGAGCCTGGCGGTCGGGTTTGATAATTGGGAGGATTTAGGGAGTGTGGGTGGGGAGGGGGCTTTCTTCACGGGCGAGGCCTCGGGTTTGGACGATAGTCCAAGAATGGGGGGCCCTGTAAGCCAGGAGGAATGGTATAATTAGGCTTGCACAAAAGGGATACCGTGAGGATATTTTTTTGCGAATTGTCTGGTCGTTTAGGACTGGTGGCTGGTGGGGTTTAATAAGGGAAGACATTATGGCCTGAAAATGGCGGTATATATCACTCTCAACTCTCGTCTTTAGCCTATTACTTCTTAGAAAGTATTTTTTTAGGCACGCGTGGGATCTATTCAAAATAGAAACCACATCGATTCGCAGTCATCTCGTCTTCGTGGCGTTTCGGTTTTGTTTTCATAAAATAAGGATAAGTTAAACTTAATATAACCCAGAATAATTATTTAATTCAACCAACAATAGATTATCAATCACGACTGCAAACGTATAGTCTATACCGACTATATGCTATCATTGCAAATCATAGCCATATTATACTGTCCGAGACTCTGTTCTTATTGATGCCACGTGGCTGTCCTCCAAACGCGCATTAGAGGAAGAGATGGAACGGATACATTCCGTGTTCGATATCTAAGCATGGCTCAACTTCGCATGATCCCTCAGGATATCATTCAATCCATCCCGCTTCTTGCACTGGTCAAAGTGGAAGCTCTTCGCGCACTCCTCCAGCTCTTCCTTGCCCATTCCACTGAACTGCTGGGCAAACTTATCCGACAACGTCCGTGACAAGAACGTCTGAAGAACCGCGCGCCTGACATGACACTCCACGTTCCACGGAGTTGGGTACTCATCCTTCGCATCCGGGTTCACCTTCTCAAGCTCTGCCACAAGCGGGGCCATTACCGACTCCATGGAGGCGCCGGGATACGATCCCCACGCATCTAGCTGGGCATCCACTTTGATCTGGAGGGAAGGGGCAATAGTACGATTCCACTTCGACTCCGGGTCCGTGTAGATCATACCCTGCAGGCCAATGTCCTTATATAGCCAGATGCTCCAGGGGATAGCGTGCTTATCGTAAATATTCAGTTGCTCCGCGAGCATGTTATAGCGCTGCTCATTGATCTTTTTCGCAGCTTCGTCTTTCTCATGGATGCTGTAGACTGGCCCGAACTCGCCGTTCCAGCACGGCACATCGTATTTAGCCATCCACTCCGCCTTGCGGCGGAATGATTTCTCAAGCCTGGATTTCTGCTCGTCTGTGCCAAGGTATGCGTCCCCCGAGGGGAAGCCCATGGAGTTGTAGTCGTGGTTGCTGTAAGCAGTGTTGGGGAGCTTAGTGGGGCCGGAAACGAGGGGCTCGAAGCCGACAAACTCCATTGCGAATGTATTTCTGTAAATTGTCAGATAGGTCTTTTCGTGGCAAAAGGAGGGGTGAGTACCCATCAAGCCAGAGGATGTGATCTGGCACGGATGGCCTCTCCAGGCGCTGGTAGAAGGCAGGAAGGCGGACATGCTCAGGATCACACGGCTCATTGATAGGGTTGTAACCTGCGACCCAAGGGTTCCCCTTGTACCGCGCAGTAATTATTTCCCATAGCCATCGGTACAGTCTTGATGGTATTTATAATCCCAAAAAGACGCCCAGGAAGAGTGGTTATCAGAGTGCCAGCCAGTCTTGGCTTTGTCCACCTGGCACCGTCCAGAATTGTGTAGATGTCATGCTTGGCACACTATTCGATATCAGTCTCACACCATCAAACACTACATTTCCATGGCAAACCAAAGAAGCAACTTACGAGATCAATAACGCGGTCCAAATGCTTGAATCCCTCTCCCTTCAACACCCTCGGATTCATATCATCCTCAAAGTGTCGGTAGTTGAACGGTAGCCTGAGAGCATTGAGCCCCAAGCTAGCAAAGAAAACAGCATCGGCATCTGTAAAGAAATACTCAAGCCACTTGTCGAAGAAGAACTCGTAGTTCTCTTGCCCCAGAACCTTCTTCATGGCCGCGCGGTGCTCCGATTCATGTCCAGGGTAGCCAGTGATGAAGTTCTCCTTGTTCATCCGGCCTCCCAGGGCTGCACCGCGCAGAATCACGGGCTTCCCGACGACCACTTGACATGATTGCGAGATTTGGAGCTGCACCGGAGATTATGTTAAAGCAACGTTAAACAGCAAGATCGTTGCGAATAATCAACACTAAGAAACAAGAAACGTCTCTGTAAAACCATAACAAGGTATCTCCTGAAATTTTCTTGAAAATATCAAGGGACATACAATGACTGAAAACAGACTGTTGAAGGAACAGCGCTCTTACATATGTTGAGATGCCCCGACACCCCGACACCTACCCCACTACAGCCTTGTCCCGTCTTGACGTCGGTCGAGCAAGACCTCCTATCAACGATTTACTGGCAGTATTTTTGGGACACTATCCCATGCTATCCTCCATCCAGGATTTAAATATTCAGGCTTAATACAGAGTTGGAGAACAGGAAGCCGCTTGGTGGGGGGGAGGTGCGGGGAGCGGTCTGTTAGTATCACTTGACAAACATTAAGACGGGGAAACCCCGGCTATGCTCTGGAGTATTTGTTTTGATATTTCGGAAACCCAAATGCATCCATCTGTGTTCGTTCCGGTAATCCGCGTGCTGAATAGCAATAGTGTCACAGCTAACATTCATATTTATGCAAAGACCAGACAGACGTGTTAAAATATAATGTTAATATATTCGCAGCTGACTATTCTGCTAGTTTCAAAGCTATATAGCTGATTGCAATTATGTCGATGATCCCATCTTTTCCAGCCATTTCCTGCGAGATGGGCTTCTTAAATCCACCTCTATATCAAGCATATAAAGCTCTTATGGGGAACTATTGCCGCCCAATGCAGCGAAGCAACGCCGATAAAGCCATGTTATGTTCGCCGCCGTAAATGCCATCCAGTAGCACCAGCCCATAGCCTTGTAATATAACTCCTCTCCCCTCCCATAAAAACCACTGCCCCTAATATATATCTGCAGAAAATAAAATATGTTCTCCCATTAACTCCCGTAATCATCATCTTCGTCACTGTCCGGACTTCCTCGCTTATTTTTCTTCGACCGACTCTTCGAATTTGAACGTGCCCCTTTCTTCCGACCACCTGGTGTTCCGCTGGCCTTGCGCTTTCGTCCCCTCCCGCTACCACTCGGGGGTTGGGATGCTTCTTCGTCATCACTCGGGGTCCGCAGCCGAGCTTGGGCGGCAACATCATCTTCTCCTTCGGCAGCGATCTTGAAGTCCTTGTCCACAGTGAGGAGTTCGACAAAATCCTTGCATTGGTCCATCATAGCTTCTCGAGACCCGAGACAAGACATTATTCTCGTACTCTCGTCCCAGAGCTTATCGCCACTTGCAAAAGGTACTTTGGTTGGTGCCCTATTTAGGTCTTTAACGTTGGCCTTTGTCTTACCCTCACGCCGAGAATTCTGACTATTCATCAAGCCATAGAGGCGGCGGAGATGCGTGCGTGCTTCCCAGAGGCAAGAAAGGACCATGGAACCGGCAGTGAGCTGGCGTAGACGCCCCAAATCAATGGCGCTTTCCGCTGAAGGAGCGACCTCTTGTCCTGGCTCGGTTTCGGCTTGGCCATTCACCATGCGCAAGCTAAAAATTTCCGTCTCAATGGCGTGAGCAACATTACTGCCTGTTCCAGTAACAACTTTCTCCATCGCAGAAATAGTTGCAAGAAGCTCATCCACGGTGGCATATTCAAAGAAGGCCAAATTTTCAATGACGAATCTAGAAAAGTCGACATGTGTAGGGAAATCCTCGGTTGCGTCAAGTTTCGATTGGTCAAAATCAATGCGAGTACATAAGCTCTCGTAGAACCTCTTTCTTATCTTAACTTTGCTGATGTTGAGAATGTCTATCAGGAGATGCAGCTTTGCTGTATACTTGGCCGTTGACGGATCGCCAGTAGAACTGATTGCTCCACGTGTGTCTTGAACGACACCATGCTGATACGTGAACGCCAGTTGAACAGCTCTCGTATATTCTTTCTCAAGGATGGTTTCGTGTTTTTCATGAAGCGACCGATGCTCCTGAAATGCTAGCTTCGCAATAATGTTGTTTTGCGATGTTTCGAGGGCAACAAATGTTTGCATGCACTCCTTCGGGTGATTCAGGCCCTGTCTATTGATGCTTGTGAGAATCTCAGTAGCTAGCAAGGCATGGTCATCTTGAGTTGCCAAGGCAATTTGGGTCAAGTAGGGCATGAATTTTTGGTAAATATATGTGCTGACTCCATCATGTCGACTTCCGCCCATGACTCCGAGAGTTGCAACCGTCTCAGTACCAGCCCCAATATTTGGCTCCGCGTCTGGATCAGAGCGTTTCTCTTCGGAGAGGAAAAACTCCTTGAATGATCCCATGATGACAGACTCTAGAGACTGAACTTTATCTTCAAATGCGGCTTGGAAGGCAGTTGAGATAGAAGCGGTATCGTAGTTTTTCGGCCACGATTGGCACACTAGGCCTATTGCATCCAATGCGGCCTTTCTGATCTCAAGAGGCTGGGACGGCGACGCAAATGGTGCGAATGTATCAACCATGAGCTTTGATACAGAGTTGCCTTTGAAGTGTGGGAACTTTTGTCGAAAGGTGGTGATCTGGCTATCTAGGTCGCAGTGCTTCCCGCACATTCCTGTAATGAGAAAAAGCTTAGAGATCTTACGGACATTGTCATTCGCTTTTGTGTCAGAGAAATCCGTCTTGCCGAGCTTTCTAATGTTATCAATTGTGGAACATATGAGCCGTGCAAGGTTATCCGTGTTCTTGAGAACTTCGCTTATAATCTGGAGGCATGCAAAGATGTCGTCAAGCGCAGCTCTATGCATACGAGAAACCGTTGGCATTATGGTCTGGCGAACGGCGATGAGAAACTGAGAGTGCAGCGTCGAGAGCTGAGGGAATACATGTCGAAATATGACAATAACACAGCGGAAAATTGTGATATCAGTCTCTGTTTTAGCGTCTGCAATAAAAGGCTGCAAAAGCTGGATCTGATCTGTCGTGAAAAGCTTGGAGTTGGCCTTCGCAAAGGTCATGAGAAGTTGTAATGCATCTTTCGTTTCGAGACGGTCGGGGCCGCCTAATCCAGCATCGCCAATTATCGTTTCAAACATTGTAGCTACAAATGTCTTGCAGACTTTGAAGTTTGCAGCTGCGTTCTTTGAAGTACTCGACAGAGAACTCTGCAGTACCCGGTCAAGGACGCCAGCTATATCAGAACTGCGCTGTATTGTTTTCACCATTAATGTCACATGGTCGGTGATTGCCAGTCGACGTTGAACGGCATCGTCTGCCGTTGGATCTTGCCCATAAAAGGGTGACAGCCATATTTCCTCAATAACTTGGCGAGCCAATTCTTGCACGCTTTCGTCCAAATCCTTCGCTCTATGAAGTAGTGCATCTGCAATCAGACTTCTGATATCCCTATCGGTATTTCGAAGGTACACATCCTTGATCAGCTTGATCGCACGCTTTCGTACCCCAGCATTGGAGTCAATCACCGCCCTAAGGATTGCAGGCAATGCTTCCTTTTCGAGAACCGGCCTGAGACCGATGCACTTAGTAATAAGACCTAAAGCTGAGTCTCGGACCTGCACCGAAGTATCCATCAAGCAATTCAATATGAGTCGGATGACTGTTTCACCTCGGTCAAGTATTGCTGGATCTGTCTCAAGAACTTGGTTGACACTCTTTAAACTCTTGCTTCGGACTATGGCTTGATCACTGCTCATGGACTTGAGAAGAATCATCAGAACGCGTTCAGAAGCTTTGCAGAATGGCGAGTTAAGTAGAGTCAAAGAATATGCGAGTTTTGCCCGAACTTCTTCAATACGAGGAGCACTATACTCCGTAGACAGCCATCTCTTGTCGTTAATCATCATGCGAAGACGATACGCAACTCGTCCATAGTTTCGCTCGAGCTCGGCCCGATCTCGATCATCCTCTATAGGAGCATCGTAACTTGCGCAAATTTGGGATGCCCAATCGGCAGCATAGTACCCAACAGCGCTTTCAAGGATGCTATCTGTGCCATATCGATCATCGAGGTATTGGAGAGAGATGCAGTACGGGCCACCCCAATTGACTAAGTCCTGAACGTGAAGCTTGTCTTCGAAGTAGGAACATAATACACGAAAGGGCATGCCGTCGACTTCGTCTGGACCATCGTTGTAAGGTGACTCGGTCAGCTTTCGAACGTCGGACGTTAGCTTTGATATGGCTGCACCCATCTCGCCAAGTAAATCTAACGCCATGTTTTTGGCGCCAGGCGGCGTTTTATCGGCCTCTGCAAGATTCACCATATTAATGAGAAATATGCGTAAAAGTAACTCAGCTGCTGGCCAGTCCATCGAGTTCAGGCAAGTAATAAAGTCCTGGACAAAGAGATCGAGTAGGTTGCGGTATGGTGCATCCCCAGTCTTGGTGGATGTCATTGCCCGCTGGACAATAAAATTGACCACGTAAGAGGCACTAGACTTCGCCGTTCTAAGGAGTGGCTGTACTGTTTTTTGAAGCTCCTGGACAGCTGTTGAGGATTGCCGAGCCGCACGCGGTTCTGTATCGTAGACTGCAGGAAGTGGCCCATTTCCCATGAGGATCTGGAAGCCCGGCTCGTCAGCCTCGCCATCAGCATCTTCATCTTCTCCATCCTGCGCTTCGCTCATTCGTGAAGATGAATTTGATTTGTTTGCACTTGTCTGGATCAGGCGCATCATGAGAGCCGACACCAGCTGGATGCTGCCTCCACTAGCCAGCTTGAATTGTCTCGCACTTTGCTTTGCCACGGGAAGCTTCTCCAATGACGTGAGGATTTCGTCAAAAATTCCCTGTCGCTGCTCCGTGTAGCTCGAAAAAATCTGTGCCAGGGTGTCCATCGCTACAACGCGGAGATTATCGAATTTTGCTACCCCCAAAACCGAATCTTTCTCGCTGTGAGCGTTTTCAACAAAAATCAATCGCGACACAGTATACTCTAGAGTATTTATGACGGTCTCGGAGAGCTCAATACTGGAGACAAGATCCCTCAACAGGCTCAGTACTCGCACGCATTGTAAAACAATATCCCTAATGGTCTTCTTGTGTGTCGAAAGAAGCTTAAAGACGGAAGATAGAGATCCAGCGTCGCGGAGCTCGACGATTGGAACGATGCACGAGTCTAGCACATTGTTCAAAGCGTGGACTGATGCTTGAATAACTTCTTCGGGGTAGAGTTGCTTTTCCTCACGGCTACCAGTCATGATCCGGAGCGAGGCTCTCGCAGATTTTAGCCCGATATCAGCCACAGCAAGATTTTCCAGGAACGTCTCCATATCCGATTCTTCCCAGGTCTCGTCAAATCTCAAACTAACAACACCAGTCGCTCTGATAGCCCCGTCACAAAGCTTTTGGAGCCTTGTAAGATCGCCGACAGGCACCTGGGGAAGTCTGCCCAAGGAAATAATCTTCTGAAGCAAAATGTGAACCTTGGACAAAGCAGGGGATGTGAGGCTCGTAACATTATCTTCTCCGATCTTTTCGCACAAGCCATGGCCGTCCGGATTACCTTCGGATTCGAAAACGCCCTGCAAGTGTTCTTGAAGCTCACGAAACGCGGCATCAGCTTGCTCGCGCTGGTCCGGCCCTTCTAAGACATCGTCCACGGACAATTTGCGTTTTCTCACGGCGCGGTCCGTGGGGGATGGCATACTTTCAGCGTTTTCGTTGTAAACGGCGTACTCTGAATCGAAATATGATTGTGGATAATCAGATATTGCAACCATAGAAGACGGCCTGGTGCCAGCCATCTCGCTGGGTTCTCTGGGAGGAGTTATGATCCGTGGATTGTAGGTTTGCATCAAGTGTGGTGCGGCAGCCTCTATAGGTGCATTTCTAACGGGTTCATAATTGCCTTGCTCCGATTTAGGTTGGTGGTGGGACTGGATATCCTTGGTCTGTGGATGTTTGACGGAGCTTTTCTTTGTGAGTTTTTGTCGACCAGATGATGTTGGCTTCGATGGGGCATGAGCACCATTTCCACTCGCAAACTGGGGTTCAGGAGCATCTGGCATTGACGGCTCAAACCCTATGGTCGTCTTGTCAAGCAGCATTTGGGCGAACGTGGACAGCTGGGTACTCGGGGGCGGATTGTCTGGCTTCGATCTGCCAGCGGTTGGAGCAGTTTTGAACTTGCTGTTTCCAGTCAGATTATGAATTCGCCGGGTCATGTAATATCGGAACTCACAATTGTGTTATGCCCTCTGGTCTGAGAAGTTGTTGCAGGTCACTCAGAGCCTTTCCAAGTCTTTGTCTCGTACCGTTCGATTCCGAGGTTGGCCCATCGAGCATAGCAAGCCCTTCTCTGGCAGCATTCTCTTCTGCTGGAGTAGCAAATATAGAAGCTGATACTCTGTCGCCAATGCTAGGTAACGGGATAATACCTAAAGGTAATGTGTAAGTGGTGGGGGTTTGACATGGAGTAGATCGGATGTGGTTGGCAATAGGTTGAGGTGCGGGGGGTGCCAAATACCGGTATTAAACGGGACAACAGTGGACATCGGGGAATGGGCAAGAGCCTCTTGCACAGAAAATGGCTTCACGCGTCCCCGACTTGAGCCATGTCTTCCTTGTTGCTCCCCAGTCGCCAGAGGACCTGGAGGTCGCGCGTAGCCATTGCGTTCCATTGTGGCGGTTTAGAGAGCATGAGAACGGTGATGCGCTAGGAGAGATACGGATGGCGCATTACTGGCGCTATTGGAGAGGCCTTGTTCAGGAGTATTGGCCTTTGTCAGAGGTATGTGATGTATCTGATCGTTCGCCGTTCACCATCCGACGTCAACGTCGCAAGGCAGTTGCGATGGTAGCCCTGCGTCAAATAGGGCTTAGCGCGGCCTATCAGCATCCGTGCATCCCAAATTCGATGAAAGCGGCTTACCGCCTTTGCAGAATTATTTTTATGTGCGAGCCTCGGGACGACTTTATCGCTACGACGTAAATTTGACATTTTCAGCTCCATATTTCGTATCACAGCTTTGTTTATTGATCAAAATGTCTGCAATTGGGTCTCTTGTTTTCTGTACCGACTGCGGTAATCTTCTAGAAAGCTCAACTGGTGATGCCAATACCCTCTTGACGTGCGCATGCTGTGGCACCGAAAACCGAGGTAAATTAGTCCTTCGCAATTATCCGAAAGCTATATACTAATAGCTCAGATACATCATTACAAACAGTCTTAACCAAGACGAAGGCCTCTTCGTTTCCTTCGCTGTTGAGGCAGATGCGATCAGCTGTGCAGACCGTGGAAATGAGCGACAGAGACAACGAGGCAACTGCCATGCAGACTTGCCCCGAGTGCGACCGAAATGAAGTGAAGTACCAGTCGTTGCAGCTGAGAGGTGCAGACGAAGGCTCTACCAATTTCTATACTTGCGAGTGTGGTTACAAGTAAGTTACGCGTGAAATCGAGGTGGACTTGAAACTAATGTCTCACTCTAGATGGAAAGGAAACAATTGATGTTGAAAACCCCGTCTATGCCATTTTATGCTGGATATCTACTCCAGACAAGCTTGGAGCTGTTGCCAGCTGCCCGCCTTCCGCCTTACAATCAATCGCTACTGTACTATTCATGCCGCCGCGGTGCCGGCAGCCTCTGGGATCAAAGCATACTCTGTCTCACCACTCCTCTCGAACTCAGCCATATCCAAAGCGACAATCACACTCTCCCTCACAACCTGCTCGCTATCATTCAAGAATCGTTTCAACACATCTTCAACGCCATCCTCGTCTCCCAAGCTGCCCAGGGCTTCCGCTGCCTCGTGCCTAACCATGCTAGCTTCCTTGGTGTCGCTCAACGCGGCAGTAAGTGCGGGTATCGAAGCCGGGTGTGACAGCTGGCCAAAGACAAACGCAATCTCGTGTCGGAACAAGGCAGATGGGTCGGCGAAGCCCTTGGCAAGAGCAAGGACAGCGGCGACGGCCGTGGGAAGGTCGGGGGGCGAAGCCAAGTCGCGGAGGCCGAACATAGCTCTGTATCGTAGGAAGAGAGGCGATTCTGGGTTCAGCAACGTCTTCTCGAGATCTTCAACTGTAGAGTTCTGCGCTGTTGTCGGAGCGGGGTCAATAGAAGCAAAATCACTACAAAAATTAGTATCGCGTGCCTCAAGCTACCAAACAACCCAACGTACCTCTGCTGTAGTTTCTCCTTCTTGCTCTCCTCCGAATTCTCCCACTCGATCCTCGCAACCGCGATTTCGCACGTCTCCCTCACAACATCCACCTCTCCCTCTTTATCTCTAAAGTCCTTCAATAGTGCTATACTCCCAGTATCTCCCAGTGCCCCGAGCGCCTCAGCCGCCTCATGTCGGCACATACTGTCCTCCGCCACATCCTCGAGCACAGCCCGCAGATACTGTGCTGCAACTAAATTCTTCGTCTGCCCCAAACAGTACGCAACCTCATGCTTGAGTAGCGCCGATGGCGATGCGAATGCGGCGGCGATAGCCTGGATCGCAGGGAGTGTCTGGGGGGAGTCTACCGGCTGGGAAGCAAGATGCTTCAGCGAGAAGAGGGCGCGAAAGCGCTGGGCGAGGGGGGTGGACTCGGTGGTGAGGCTGGTCCGCAGAGCGAGGATCGTGGGGTCTTGAGTTTCGGGGATGCTCTGGGCCACTTTGGAAGGCGCTGATTCTGCCATTTATGCGGTTTGTGGGATGTGAGGGTGACTGAGTGGTGGTGATCGTGTCTTGGTGGGGTTGAGAAAATAATGGCGGATAAGCTTGGGGTTGCGTGGACTTGGCTTCTTATCGAAGGTCACGTGAAAATGGTACCAATAAAAGGTCAAAAATGCCTTGTGGCCTATTGTCATAATTAATTCCCTCCGCCCTACTATATTGGCTCTAATTTTTAAGTTAGGTGCCCTTAAAAAAAAGGGACAAAAAATTGTAATTGACCGGCGAAGGTCGTACCGAGATTCGAACTCAGGTCCCCGGAATGATTGCGAATGAATCGCATGATCAGAATCCGATGTGATAACCAACTACACTATACAACCCGAAAGGGGCTTGCTTTCATATAAGGTAATTGCATAATTGTAATTATATATGAACTAAGATAACTAACCCAGATCAGCCATCCCATAACGTATTTCACATGCGAGCTGGTCACCCAAGCGAGCTGGCCACTGAATTTCCCACCTAAAATCAGTAAATTTGCAAGACAATAACTCAACAACAGCTTGATAATACTTTTCTAACCTTTTCTACTTAGTTAAATCCTTATCCAGTTATTTAGGAATAATCTATGTTGTACTCGTGCGGCCCAAAAGCCTGTATAGGGTCTGTGCACTCCAGCCAATTAGAATATTACAATAATTAGGAAGTGTACGGAGGTATAGTTGGTAAGTTTTGTAGGTGGGGCGTACTATTAAGATTGCGTGAGCATGGGTACGCGTTCAATTGTTTGTATCCTTTTAACGTGTTGTAAGTTTTCCTTTATATATTTATACTATACGAATTTATATCTATTTTCTATTAACAATGCCGCACCTTACTCGTGATGAGCGGCTTAAATGCCAACTACTACGCTCCCTTAATTGGGAGTATCAAGCCATTGCCACTCGAATGCGTTGCTCAATCCGACAGGCGTCGTACGCTATTGAGCAAGGCAGGCCCTTCCTAGCTATCTACTGTACTTTTTAAAATATAATTCAATTTGACGCGATGAACGCGTATGGTACTTCGACTGAATTGCCAAGTGTTGCGAGTGGGGGGCCCCACCTACAAAACTTCCAGACTATACCTCCGTAAGTACTCGGTTACAACGATAATTTCAAGGGCAAAAACTCCATCTACCCGGTAAAAACCCAAATAAACTCTATCTACCCGGTCGATTACCACGTGACCATCCCCCACCCAATCCACCCGTAAAACGCCCTGTTCTCATATGAGAACAGGCCGTAAACCCCCCATAACTCCCCCCGTAACCCCCCCTGTAAACTGACCTGTTCTCATATGAGAACAGGTCAATTGTGAGGCCTGCGGCAAGTCCTGGCATTGTGCCCAGGCTCGCCGCAGGTGCCGCAGCGTGTACGGACCAAGTCCGGCACGGCGGCAACGACTGCCCCAAGCGGCAGAAGTCCTCCATGATCCCGTCGTTCCTGGCGTCCTCGAGGACGCCGGGCATCTTCCTGTAATGGTGGGTGCACCAGATATGAGAATCTAGCCACCCAAGGAAGGGATGAATTTACTAAGACAACACACTGTCTTAGGAAACAGAGCCAAAGGGTTGTAGCTTAGACTATTCCACAACGCAGCAATCAGGTGTATGATGTGGTGAAGTGGTTTAGACAAGTTGCAACAAATGTTGAGTCTGAGAACTCAGGGGTAAGTCAGAGGTTAGCACCTCACTGACTTTTCAAAAAACAGAGAATAACAAGATCAATGCTTGGAAGCTTGGAAAAGACGTAGAAGTATGTGCTAGTCGATTTACTGTATTGTCTGCTTGCCCTTTCTTAAAGAAAGGGCAATCCTATTTATGCCAAAGGAGTGTAGTTCTCTCATTTTCCATGACTTTCCATGACTAACCAGGCTTGGTAAATGTATTAGAAATCAAGTGCGACCCACAACTAGCTTGCTAATCATGTAGTGAACGTAAGAGAATCCCATAGAACCATCTCTTGGGTTCCTAGCCTATAGGAAGTGAAAAGGAGGTCCAAGGTCACAGTACCTATAGACAAATTATGTCAGAACTTAACCAATCTTGTGGGTAACTAAGGAGCGATGACGTGTAATGAATCATAGAGGGTTGTAGAAGCTTCTAGAGCTATCGTTCATGTTCCTAGGCCTCTAGTTGGTAGAGATATGCCATGTGGTAGTATTGGCCCACCCCCTTAAGGAGGAGATTTTCTTAATAACTTGTTCAATGAGTGTCCAAATGATATGCCGTGATGTATGTAGCATAAACAGATGTAGTAGAAGAGTTTGCAGCAATCGTTGAGTAGTATTGCTTCTGTTGTTGGTGTGATAAGCCAAGATATGTATGGTGACTTGTAGGTTTGAGGAGGAGATTTCTAAGTTTGCTCTTGAGTTTGATAGCAAACTGAGTGCAACGAATGTCAGTATGACATGATCCCCCTTTTAAGGACGTTTGTGGGCTGTCTGCTTGCCCTTTAGCCAGGTGGCTTTCTTAGAAAGAAATTCTAGAATGAGCTTAGATGCATTTTTTAGATTTCTCTTAGGCTCCCAAGTGTTGTCACTTGTAGGATAGCCTTTCCACTTAACGAGGAAGTAGTCCTGACCTCTAAGTGTCTTTTTGTCAAGGATAGACTCTACTTCATATTCTGGTTGATCCAAGATCAGAACAGGAGGTGGAGGAGACTGAAGTGGTCTTAAGGAACTTTCTTGTGCCTTAGACAAGAGAGATGCATGGAAGACATTATGGATAGTCCAAGTAGGTGGTAATGCAAGCTCGAAAGCATTCTTGCCAATAGTCCTTGTGATCTTAAAAGGTCCAAGTCTTTTAGTATCAAGTTTGTCTGAAGGTCTAGTAGTTGTGATATGTCTTCTAGACAAAAAGACTTGATCACCAACTTTGAATTGTGGTGCAACCACCCCCCTGTTAAAGGCCTGAGCCTGCTCGTCTTGTGCACGCTGTATTTGAACCTTGAGATAGTCCTGGAGGCCCTTAAGGTAGATGATTCTTTCAGTAGCAGAAGGGTTTTTGAAATTTTCAGGACAATTCAGTTCTGCCACTTCAAACCTAGGGTGATAACCATAGTTTGCATAGAAAGGTGTCTCTTTTGTGGTGTTAGAGACTGTGTTGTTGTAAGCAAATTCTGCAAGATGGAGAAGATCTGCCCAGTTGTCTTGAGCATAGTTTGTATAAATTCTTAGATATTGTTCAAGTACAGAGTTGACTCTCTCTGTCTGGCCATCTGTTTGAGGGTGATAAGCTGTAGAGAAGCGTTGTTCCATGTTTAAGAGTTTAGAGAACTCCTTAAAAAAGTTTGAAGTGAAAACTGCTCCCCTATCTGAGATCCAGTGTCCAGGAATTCCATGATATTTAAAGACCACCTTGAGGAATAGCCACGCAAGTTCAGAAGCTGTGATAGTCTCATTGCAAGGCTCAAAGTGTGCCATTTTTGTGAGCCTTTCTACCACCACAAGGATAGAGTCATAAGGGGTAGCACCCCCTTTTGGGATAGAAGGAGGCAACTTGACTATAAAGTCAATGGATATGGAGTCCCATGGGCGTTCTGGTATAGGTAGAGGCTGCAAGAGGCCATAGGGCTTTTGCCGTGTAGGCTTGTTCAAGTTGCAAGTAGTGCAAGAAGATATATAGTCTTGAAGAGTAGTCCTTAGACTAGGCCAGTAGAACTTTCTTGTTAGAAGTTCATAAGTTTTTGCAAAGCCAAAGTGCCCTGCAGCTGGAGCATCATGGAACTGCTGTAGGAGGTGTAGCTGTAATCGTTTATCCCTTGGGACATAGATATAGTTCTTGAATAAGAGAAGTCCATGCTGATTTTTTGAGAAATTCTGTAGTCCAACTTTCTCAAGAGAGGAACCTTTCTTCTGGAGGTATTCCAAAGTTCTTTTCGCAAAGGGATCATGGTTGTAAGCATCTTTGAATGCTTTAAGAAGTATTGCTGAGGGTGTATAGTCTTTAAAGGTCTCTGGTTCCTGAGAAGAGGTAATGGGGGCAACTTGGTCTTGAGGGGATAAGTTTACCCCTAAGTCCTCTGTAGTACTAGGGTTGCTTAAAGATGCTGCTATAAGCTTTGCTGAGTCTAGCAGAGCCTTTGTATTGCTAGTTTTAGCAGAATCTTGGTAGTCATGTCTTCTTGAGAGGAGATCTGCTCTTTGATTCTTGGCCCCTGAGACATGTTTTATAACAAAGTCAAAACCTCCTAGTTGTTCAGACCACCTTGCTTGTCGTCGATTGAGCTGTTTAGTGGTTGTAAAGGTCAAGAGATTTGAATGGTCACTGTAAATAGTGATAGGATAGTTTGCCCCTTCAAGGTAGCATCTCCAATGCTTTAGAGAACATACTATGGCAAGCAGTTCCTTGTCTGTAATGGGATAGTTTTGTTCAGCTGCTGATAGCTTTCTTGAGTAAAATGCCACAGGCTGTAGCTCTTCTTGTTTGTCTTTTGGAGCTTGGTATAAGATTCCAGAAATGGCAAAATCTGAGGCATCTGTCTCAAGAGTGGCAGGTTTCAAGGGGTTAAAGTGTAGTAACATTTTCCCTTCTTTAAATTCTCCTTTAAGAGCATCGAAAGCATCTTGCTGTGTCTTATCCCAGTGATACAAAGTGTCCTTGTGAAGTAATTGAGTAAGGGGTAAAGCCAAGGATGTATATCTTGGTATAAACCTCCTGTAATAGTTGGCAAACCCAAGGAAAGACTGAACCTCTTTAATGCTGGAAGGAATAGGCCACGTTTGTACTGCTTTTGTCTTTTCAGGGTCCATCTGAATGCCTTCTGTTGAAATTCTATGTCCTAAGAAATCAACTTGAGACATATGGAAAAGACATTTCTCAAGTTTGCAAAAGAGTTGTGCTTGAGATAGCTTCTCTAAGACTTGTCTAACATGTAGAACATGCTCTTGAGTGTCTAAAGAGTATATAAGAATGTCGTCTAAGTAGACAACAACAAAGATATCCAAGTAAGGTCTTAGAATATCATTCATGAGAGCTTGGAAAGAAGCAGGTGCATTGGCAAGCCCAAAAGGCATTACCTGGTATTCAAAATGACCATAGCGTGTTCTGAATGCTGTCTTCCACTCATCACCTTCCTTGATGCGTATCAGGTTATAAGCTCCCCTGAGATCTAACTTGGTAAAGATCCTTGCTGAAGAGAGCCTATCTATGAGCTCAGGGATAAGGGGTAAAGCATATCTGTTTTTAACAGTGACTGCATTAAGGCCCCTATAATCAACACAGAGACGCAAGGAGCCATCTTTCTTCTTGACAAAGAGAATGGGAGCTCCTGCTGGTGAGGAAGAAGTTCTGATAAAGCCAGAACTAAGGTTCTCATCTAGGTATTCTCTGAGAGTTTTCAGCTCTAATTCAGATAGAGAGTAGATAGGGCCGTAGGGAGGCATTGAGCCTTCTGCGAGTGGTATCTCATGGTCATAAGGCTGGTGCTTTGGCAGAATTGATGCCTTTGCCTTGTCAAAAAGATGTTGGTAGTCTTGGTATGCTAAAGGCAAAATGACCTCCTGAGATGATTTCTCCAAATCTGAAGTAGCTGCTATCTCCAGGACAGGTTGGAAAGGTTTAACCCATATTAGAGATGATATATCGTCCATAGTTTGGTCAAAATCCTTGATCTGGGACAAGTTTGAGTCTTGGACCTGAATAGGGGTAACTGAGGCTTGAAGGGTTTTTCCAGTATTGAGCTCAGGATTTGAGCTAAACCCAAGCGATAAATGCTTCCAATTGATAGTTGGATCATGCCTTTGAAGCCATGGAAGACCTAGGATGACTGGGTACTTCATTGGTATAACATCTAAAGAGATGGTGTCTGAAAATGTTGATTTTCCTAGGGGAATCTCAAGTTTGAGTACTGGGGTGTTGCAGGTAATGGAACCTGAACTGATAGGAGTTCCATCAATGACTCGGAGCAACTCTGGAGTGCGTTTGGGAATTGTAGGTAACTGGTGTGTCAAGATGAGGTCTTGAGATATAAAGTTGCCTGTTGCCCCTGAGTCTATCATAGCCCTTGTAGACAACACCTGTTGTTTGAAATGGAGTTGAATAGGGATTAACAGGTGTGTGAGACTCTGAGAAAGCACCATCGACACATCTTTGTTGTCTAGGGGAGAAGTTATAGTCTCAGTTGAAGTTGTGCCTGCTAGGGATTTTTCAAGTTTTTCAGGAATAGCAGTTGTGACTGTGTCTGAGGCTGCTATATGTTTTGAATCAGCACTCCCCCGTGCTGAATAGCACTCCTGAATTCTGTGTCCCCCTTTGCCACAGTATAAACAAAGGTTGTTGTCCATTCTGTGTTTTCTTTCTTGAGGGGTAAGTTTACCCCTTTTCAGTTTTTGAGGGTATCCTGTAGGCTGAGGTGCTGGATTTGCTGTAGATCTCTTTATAGAGGCGTCTAAGTCCATAGGTTCAGGTGCTGAGTCCTTAGCAGTTGGTGTAGAGGTGTAATTGTTGAAATTTCTTGTTGGATGCCAGTCTTGGTTC